TGGCCACAGTACCAGAACACCAATGCTCTTGCCAACAACATGATGTATATCAATGCCGTGGGTATTTCCACCGGGAAGGATAACTACAGACAGGCAGCAATGAGTTTCCTCAACACTAACTACCAAAACATTTTAATGTAAACTCTGTTGAGTCCCACCTTTCTGACAGATAATAGATGACACGTTTTTACTGTTTATAGTTATATATCCATCGCTTAGTAACAGCCTGAATATACATGAAGCAGGCATCACTGCTCTGATACAGCCCATTTTGTCATACAGAGGAGTTGTGGTGTATTAGGTAGCCGTTGACACCATTAGCTAAAATGGAATATCACTCAAGAGATATCTGCCGACGATGTCTACAGACGGCGCCTTTGCTCATTCCATCGTACCCTAGTACTTTTAATTTCCTCTTAGGCTTCCTGCACACACTGAAAAAGCACAAGAACTACGGCCAGCCATTTTCGCTTTCTCCTCTCTAAACTCTGAACACAATGCTTTTCCGAGGTTGTTTAACAAGACAGACACTAAAACATTTCTCAGGTCGTTCTCTCCAGTTCACACGCAACTCCGTGGATCCGTGTACCCAGCCCAGAGAAGCCCCGCCGTTCACCGCGGGCCAACCGTTGTATGAAACGCGTCCGCATGTGGTTCAGGCGGGTAATATAACCCCCGGGATTTCGGCGCTAGAGTACTATGAGCGCCGCCTCCGGCTAATGGCCAACTTCCCAGCTCGGAGTGTTGCGGTGGTGGCCGGAAACCAGGTAAAGTACGCGTCGGGGAGCGTTTTCTACCAGTTCCAGCAGAACACGGACCTTTTCTACCTCACGGGGTGGAACGAGCCGGACTCTGTGGCACTTTTGGAGAAAATCAATGAGCAGGATGTGGTTTTACACATGCTCGTGCCGCCAAAGGACACGTTTGCGGAGCAGTGGGAGGGATATCGCACCGGAGTGGAGAACGTCCAGGAGTTGTTTAACGCTGACGAATCGGCTTCGATCCACGAATTACCGGCTTACATGCGCCATGTGGTGGAGCGCAACGACTACGTCTACTTCGACCATGTCGGCGAACCCCGCAAGGCGACCCCGGCGAGCGCGTTTCGCGGGATGTTTGGCAATAAGGCGCAGGGGCTCGCGGGTGCCGACACAATGCACCGGATTCTCGCAGAGATGCCGGTGACGAAAACACACCGTGCATTGAAGCCACACATCGAGAACATGCGTGCGGTCAAGTCCGACGCGGAGGTTGCGGTGATGCGTGCTGCGGGGCGCATCTCGGGACGCGCGTACAACCAGGCGTACGCGCAGCGCTTCAAGACGGAGCGTGTTTTGAACTCGTTTTTGCAGCACCGGTTCATTGCCGGTGGCTGTGAAAAGGCTGCGTACATCCCAGTAGTTGCGGGTGGGCCGAACGCGTTGTGCATCCACTACACCATCAACAACGACGTGTTGCGTACGGACGAGATGGTGCTCGTGGACGCAGGTGGCGCTCTCGGCGGCTACTGTGCCGACATCTCGCGCACGTGGCCGAATGCGGGGAAGTTTTCAGAACCGCAGGCCGAGCTCTACCAGGCGGTTCTCAGTGTGCAGAAGCAGTGCATCGCCATGTGTACGACTCGCGAAAATGTCTCGCTCAACCAACTCCACGCCGCGAGCATGCGCTTGATGAGCCGCGAGTTGCTGCGTCTCGCGGGCTTCGAGGACCTCACCGAGCGCTCCACCCAGGAGCTTTACCCGCACAGCATCGGTCATAACTTGGGGCTCGACTTGCACGACATTCCCGGTTTTGGTGGCTCCACCAAGTTGCAAAAGAACCAGGTTATCACCATTGAGCCGGGGGTGTACATCCCCGATGATGACCGCTTTCCCGCACGTTTCCGTGGCATCGGAATCAGGATCGAAGATGATATCGCTGTGGGTGAGGATACGTACACGAATTTGACCGTAGAGGCTGCTAAGGAGATTGTGGATATCGAGAGTATTGCCGAGAACGGTGTGACGACCCCGTACGAAGACGAGGTGGTTGATGCGTTTAGTTAGAAAGGTTTGTATATAAAGGATGGTAGACCGAGAAGATGTAGGTTGAACTGAGGGTTTAAACTGAGGGTTTGAACCGAGAATTTGAAAAATTTGAAGAATTTGAACTTTGACGTTTAGGTAAAGTTTAATGTTCTAACCTAATAACTTATCCCTGCATCCGGGACTTGGCTAAATGTGAACCATCAAACTTGTACGTTAATCGTCACTTTTAACCACTAGATGTTCGTCAATATACGGTGACCCTACATAGATGGAGACCTAACTTGAATCTTGAACGGAAAAACTGCAACTGTACGTATAAACATAGATTTTAGGAGGCTTTATAATCATAGATTTTAGAAGACTGTATTGCACGCAGAAGCTAATATTAACAATGAGTGCGAATAACGGTTCAGAACATACAAACGACGTCATACCCATGCCTTGCAATAAACCAAGACTTTCAAATAACTCACAACCTTCCCATTATTCAACAAAGTTGCGGACAACAAAGTTACTCACCACACTGGATGTCGTGGCAACGTCAAGCGAAAAGAGAAGATGGTCCATGGCCTGGCCATTGTCACTTTCCGCCTCCTCCTCATATAGCACATACGAGTCATCCAATGGATTGTACTTGAACCGCAAGTCAAGAACCACTACCAAGTCAGAAACGGCTTCGCGGACATCCAAGGGCGCCACGCCCAACTTTTTTGCCAAATGCCCCACGTTGACGGACCGCACGGCGGACAAGTACCCCAAGATCTGTTTCTGCAACACAATCGTCTTGATCTGGTCCCAGTTGCTTGACAAGAACAAGTCTGTGTCAACCACGTCTTTAAAGTCGGAGGACCCCATCAAGTCATTCAACCTGGCGTAGCTATTTGTAGTCAAGAGTTCATCAACGAAGCGGCGGAAGACTGGCGGCGTGTGATCCACAAGCTCCTCCAACGCACCCGAAACGGCGCTTCGTTCCTTTGGGTCCACGTCTTCGCTGGTGCCGAAGAATGCATCGGTAAACTCTCGGGTGGAAGATACCAAGTAGAGCGAAAGAAACACAATGATCACCATGGTCGGGACATTAACTAGCTGATTAAAGTTTACACTAAACAACACCAGAAGCAGCTTGGGGTCCAAGACCAACGCTGTAAACTCGCTGACAACTACATCGTAGTTTTTTTCGAGAAAATTCCCGAGCAACGTGTACCACTTTACTCGGTAAAATGCGTCGGTTTCAGCCTCCGAGGCCGTGGCGAGGTTTCGGTGAATGTCGTTTCGCTTCAGGTGCGTGGAAATGAGGTACGGAACGTTTTTCGGTTCAAACATAAGACACAACCAGTGGGCCTCGATATGTCTGTGTGTCGACATGTCCGCATGCGGCAAATGCCCCGCGCTTACGAGCGTGTTCGACGCTTGCAGTGTTTCGTGCGCGATGGCTTGCATTACTGCCAACTTCTCAATGGTTGCCCTGATCGCTGCCTCCTCAGCGTCTTCGGCTGCGCTGTCAGGGGCGCCCAATGGCGCCTTTTCCACGTAGACTTCGATTTCCAGCAACAAGCGCAACGATTCAACGTCGAAGGAGCGATACAAATCTCGGAGAAGTGTCTCTGAGAGCACTTGGGGGCTCGATTGCGTCACGTATTCAACCAAGTCCTTAGCAAAAGGCGCCACCGAGCTGTATTCTTGCATCATATGTAGCGCCGTCGTCGCCGCCTGGACCCGTGTGTTGTGTGACTGGGACCTGAGGAAGATATGGTGCAATCGTTCGATCACAAAAGGCCCGGAAAAGGCATCGAGGTAGGTGTCGAGATTGAAAGTCATAGTACGGAAGGGAAGAGAGGCGCGAAGGCTGAGAGAAGGTAAGGTTGTACTTGTGGAGTAGTGTGGGGGGTAAATGGGTATGGACACGAAAATGTGTCGACTATGGGCAGTTGTAAAATTGGCGTCAAACTCGCATATTTTGGCATACCTTTCGGGAGCTCAAAAAAGGCATCGCCTTAAAAAGTCAAGCCAATCTAGGTAGATGATGCTTGTGGGATAACATGGCTGAAGGTTAAAATTAAATGTTTCAAAGGAAAGCTGATTGTGCGTGTTTGGACCTTGGGTAGATGCAACAAAGTATTTTGTTAGCAGACACTACACCCAACCGTAAAACCTATACATAATTACAAGCCAGACTAGAAGGAGCTACAACGGACCTCGAGTTTAAACGGAGTCAAAATTGAAAATAGAAACCACCGTTCAGCAATCTTCTTGATCCCAAACTTTTTTCCCTTAAATCTCTCTAGCCATTCATTTCCCTCGCGTCGAATTCCGCTCTTCTTCCATTAATGCTCTTTAAGCCAAGTTATTTTATCGCTGCTAATACAGCACGTTGCTCGCCTCATAACAATTGAACGTTTTGGGACACTCTTGATCACATTTCCCACGTCTTACGCACTATGTACAACATCTATTATTCAGGTGCTCTTTGCGTCGTATCTCGCCGCTTACTCCTGAGAATCCTCCTCCAACGCCTTATCCACATCCAACTTGAAATTCTCACCATCCTCGACAATAATTCCCTGTTCTCTCAATCTGTCAAACATGTCCTGTGGAACCCAGCCCTTGGTGGCCGCAAACGGAGTGCCAACAATCTCCTCCTGGAATGCCTGTAACGCGGCAGCATGAGCCTCAACCTCCTCCGAAGAAAACTTGACTGGGAACTCATCGCTGTTTACCAACTTGTTCTGCGCGTACATGTCCCAGATCTGCTCCAACTGGATCATCGCGGCCTCCACGTACAAGTACTCTTGGTCACCCTTTCTATCGACCGCCTGGACGTATGGCGACCTCAATAACTTGACCGGCGGCGCGACCGAGCTGATCAAGTGTTTGGCACGCTCATTCAAACCGGCCTCCCACAAGTGTTGGTTTCTGGTGCGGTGGTACATGAAGTCGTACTGCTGCTGTTCGGCCTCGTCCAACTGGGCGTAGTTTTCGACGTCAGCCTCCAAGTCGTAGATCTTTGGACCCTCGTAGATGATAAACTGTGGATTGTTCTGCAAGATGAATGGCTTGATGGAGACATTTTCAAAATCGACAAAGTACGGGGTAGTGGTCTCGCCGGTAGGCTTCATAATCACGTTCATTGGGTCGAGGTCTGGGTGGGAAAAGCGCGGCTTGAACAAGTCCTGGACGTTTGGAATAGCCGGCGAAGCAGTGTTGAACAACTGCGGTGCCATGGCCCCGAGCTTGGTGTAGGTATCGACCATTCTGGCCAATCTTTCGGTGTCCTCGACCTTGTTGGCAGAATCGGCGTTGGAGAGCCCGATTCTGGTTCTCAAGGACTCCAACTCAAGATCAGAAACCGACTTGACGAGCTCTAACGGCTTACTCTTGTCCCATGGGCCGAGCAAGCCCTCCAACTGCGAACTCGTCATGTGGCCCCGGTCTTTCGAGTAGGCTCTTTCGACGGTAGGCCCGACCTTCCATCTGTCGGCCAAGGCCGTGTCGGTTTCGCCTTCGTAGGCAGCATCCTTCTGCAAGTCAACACTGACATCATCCTTAAAATACAAGGAACCGAACTTGGAGAAGTCTACGGACAAAAGCTTGGCCTGGAACTCAGACAACGGATCGACCACCTTCTTCAAGATCTCCTTGCCCTCGCCGGCATCCGCATCGCTCACTAATGGCGCCCATTGTTTCATCAACAAGTCACCTGGAAGGTATTCCATCAAGATGTACGGGGTCTGCAATGGGTTGGAGGCATCGGCACCGTAGGAGAACACCTTTGGCACGTTGAGCCCGAGCTTGAGGTCGAGAAAGTCCAAGGTGGCAACCTCAGACTTGATCTTCATGGCGGTAGCAAAGTCTGTGTCCAATGGGTACGGGATTCTCAACACAAAGTCACGCCCGTTGCTGGCAGTGACCTTGTAGATGCGGTGGTGTTTGCCCTCGTGGACCGAGGCCATAGACTGGACCTGCATCCCGGCATCGGACTTGGTGCCAATCAAGGCTTCGGTTAAGTTGTGGGTCAAGGTGACGGAGTTGTCAAGGTTCTTCAATGGCGGGAGCACCTTGGCGCCAGTAGTGGCGGCGCTGTAGAGGCCGTTGACGACAGCAGTGGTGCCCTCAATGGAGAAACGGGTTACACGCTTCTGCTTCTGCGCTTTGTCGTCCTGCAACCACGAGCCCCATGTGTAGCGGAAGAAGGCGTCGCGCTGGGGGTCGTTCTCCTCGGTCAAGCGCGTGAAGTGTTCCTTTGGCTTTGACGGAATGGATGATTGGAGTCTAAGCCCGAAGGTCTTGAAGGTGAGGGACCGCGCGGTTGCCACAGTCTTGGCAGATAATCTAGCAGCTCTCAACATGGGAAAATTATTTGGTTGGGTAGGGCGAGGAGGTATGAGGAGAAGTTTGGATTCGTTTTGATATGCAGTGACGAAAATTTCGTTACCCGGATATCCGAAACGGAGAGGCTGAGATCGTGATTAAAGATTGAGCCGAGAACTTGAATTAACTCCCACCTAGATCTACAGCTGGTATCGGAAAGATAGTGGAATTTAAAGTTAATCGTATAATTCCAACTTTTACCAATATATACCGAGGAGGTGCATCGAAGTAATGTTTTGGATGCCATGCTAGATTTTAAGGCAATAGTTGGGTGCATCCTTAGGACAGACCATAACTGCCGGGTACTGGGGTGGAGTAAGCAGGATTTTGATGTCCGCCGTACCAATGATACCTCTAAAGAGTTTCAATTTAGCGAACTCTTCCTCCGAAAAAAGAGCTTTAAGAGTCCCCAAGGCATTGTGAACAAGCTTATTGTTGGGGGGGGGGGGGGGGGATCAATAAAATCCTTCAGGGAAATATAATACTAATATTCCGTTGGGAGCGTTCCAGTAAACATATAATACGAGTGATAACAATATTCGGGTGGATTTCAAGAGGTCAAGAAACAGTATGTTTGGATAGACACCTTCAAAGTATTTAGATAACCTGGGCATATTCAAGGGTCTAGATGGCCCAGGGGAAGCTCCCTCACGCGGCATATCTCTACACCTATGCATTTCTTCATAACTCATTAAACATCAGAATAACAAAAATGGCAAAGGAACCGCACAAACCACCACATACGAAACCTTTCCAGTGATACAGCCACAACTTCCGGTCGGTGAAAAGGGATCCACACCGTGCGTACCACAAATTTCCTACGTATTGACATTACTTCTCTTGCTCTGTAACAAATCCCTGTCACGATTTAACGCGGCTCCCGGCTTTTCATCGCTCCAGCTGAAACCATCCGGACCAAATCTCTGGGATTGACTTGACAGTTCCGAATCAAGGTCGTCAAACGTCAACGACTTTATAGACTTTACCGAGTCAGAGAAATCGTCAATGTATAAGTTTGATCTAGAGAGCGCCAACCGATGGTTCGGAACAGTGCCAGTGACATTGGTGGCGTTGGTCGTGTATGTTTGGTTGGGGTTGAACAGAAGGTTGCTGACAGAGGAAGCGAGCGACGAGGCAAGATACGGGGGTGGGACAAAGTGACCCTGGACCCGGCCACCCTCGATCCCATCCTTATTTGCCACCATCGATATGCTAGAGGTGACCGAACCTCTGCTAGAGGGGCGAGAAGGGATGTTACTGAGTTTAGACGCGATCGGGTCAGAGGCCGAGAAACTCTCGATTAAGGGAGACGGCAGAACCAAGTGTAAATGGGTCTCCCCATACGCCGGTTCTTCTGTGACCGACGGCGTGGCGGTGGAGATTCCCTGCTGATACTCTGTATCAGAAGAGGCGATGGAAGCATTGGTGGAGCTGATGAGGTTGGGTTCAGCCAAGTCCAGGTGCAACCGCGTGAACTGCTTGGAGGACTGGAGGAGGTTGTATGCGGTTAACTTGTCTGGTTTGTGGGACAACTCATCCAACGTTGTCCCTTTGGTTTCGTCGGCACCTGGAAGGTTTGCAAGCTCTAACGGCATGGTAAATGGCATACGGATCCGAAGTTAGGGTTGAAAATACTGCACCAGATCGCGAGGAATAAAGGAAGAGAGATATCTGTAATTGGCGACGGAGATGGCTGATTATACCACCCGTTAAATTTCACGAAATTGGACGCCTTTAGTTCTGTGGTCCGTGAAAAAGCACTAGGCGCATGAGGTGATGAACTGGAGTATTGCGCGAGAGTAGCAACAATTCTAATGCATAAAAACGTCCTAGTCAGCCTCCAACATACATGGGGATGACGTATGCATGTGGACTAAGGGGCCTATGTTAAGGATCGATCTCTGGCTTGACTGCCGCATGGGGAGCCTTACCCGATTTGGTAGGTGTACAGTATTTCGCATATGCCAGACTTGTGCGATGCTACTTTTCGAATGTTGCACTGTACATGACACTGTCAAAACAGGTCAGCAAAAGTCACCAAAATGATTCGATGCCACCTTCTCCCATGCCTCTATTTATTTCAGTACCCGTTTCAATTCTCCCTTCTTCTTGTACATTTCATTCTCCGTATACACCGTAATGACAAGCAGCTCAAAACTTGACCCAATTCCCGAACCCAAGACCCTCACAAAAGCCGAGTCGATGAAGCTTGTGCACCACTTATTGGTGATGTCGCTTGGGTGTATTGCCTATCTCCGTGACTTTTTTGCCGAAGATAATTTCGTCGTTCGCCGGCTCATCCCTGAAAGGCTCCTTGAACACGAGACAAACCTCTACACCAGTAGCAAGTCCGGGTTGAAAGTGACGACGTTAGTGAAAGGAATTTCCAAGGAGGCGGACAAGTTCTTGGACTGGCTCGACCACGGGGTACTTTGTTGTTTGAAGAGTGGCTTTTTGAAGGGCCTCAGCTTGGGGATCTTCACCGACCCCCAGCGTCCTGAAAAGCTTGTCGAGTGCTACGTGTTTTCTTTCGCCTACGACGAGAACGGATATGCTGGAATTAGGGTTGGGTCTGACGCAGAAGACAGGGTGGCACCTGTATCCACGGTTCTAGAAGCGCGAGATACTTTCCAGCAGTTGATGCGCCGTTTTATTATCTTGACCCAGTCGCTTGACCTGTTGCCTTCCAAGAAATACCTCTCCATGAGATTGATCTACAGCGATTCATGTCCTTCTGATTTCCAACCCCATCTTTTTAGAGACTGTACTTTCGATACACCAGCCACGGTAACGCTTCCAGAGTCAGTGCTACAGAGACAGCGAGATGCTCAGACGGACCCATCGTGTGTGGCCCAAGGCGTTGGGAGTCTCAGCACCCCGCACCATTCTGTCAGCGTAAGCGTGTTATCTCTTCCAAAGCTTCATAGCCACCAGGGAAATTTCGAGACTTTCCGTGAAATCAATCCTTTTGAGTATACGACCAACGAGAGCCCAAGGGTGGCAAACTCTTCAACGACCCCCGAGGCGGTGGCTGACTCCAAGTCCGGGACTTTTCGCAGCCTAAAGTCTCAAACTTCCGCCAACCAGGTTTCCCAGGTTTCGAGGGAGTTGAGAACCCACTTAGGCACGCGAATGGTTCGTGGAAAGCTATCACTATCCAGCACGAGAGAGTCTCAGATGGAAACTCAGATTAGGGAGACCCAGACGCAGGTGAAACAGAGTCTTGAAGTGGACTGCGAGTGCCGCAGCAAAGAGATCAACGAAGGGTTCTCGCGTCTTATTTGTTGTTCGTCGTGCCAAAAACACGTCCACCTTGTGTGCTACAACATCCAGCGAAATATGAGGTACGACAAAATTTGCTCTTTGGAGAGAACGTTTGTTTGTTATCTGTGTCTTGCCCGAAACCAGTACCATCACCCACAGTTCCCCGAACATGTTTTCACCGTGTTAAATCTAAGAAAGACATTGGCTATTTTTGGAAGCACGCTTCTTTTGCCAAAGTCAATGTCAGAGTTCAGCAGCACGCTTGCACTCACGCCTGAGGACGATTTTGATGAATCTCGAATCAGCAGGTTTGAAATAAGCATTCTCAACATGTTGCTTCACCTTGAAATGCTTATTTTGGGGAACGAGATACCCCCCGAACAGCAGATGAGATCCACCTACTTTCAGCTCGATAAGGGCGCTTTAATGTTTTGGTCTGGCCACTCAAAAACGGTTGTCTATGGAAAGAACGAGTCATTTCCAATGGTGTATAAAACATATTTATACAAACAGCGTGAACTAAGGAAACAGATTCTCAGTGATACTTTGATCTTCCACCCAGATGCTTCCTTTTTTGAAATGTGGGGGGTGTTGAGCCTGGACGAGTCGACGGACACTAGCTCGATCCCAGTCAGGCCTATCGCTAAGAACGTACACCAGGAACACTATAGTGATGCGTTTGAACACTTGACCCAGAATGCGCTCCCTCTCCCCACGATGGATGGGACTTCGTTTCACGATACATACTTAACTGACCAGGAAACTGATACTCCGGTAAGCGACCCCATCGAGTGTTCGATGATGTCTGCTAATGGAACCACAGCGACTGAGATATCCTACGAGTTTCAAAGAGGCACCCAGCCTATTGTGTCTAGGAACAAGCACGGCCGAGAAAACGGCCCCGTAATCATTGTGGTTTCTGACGACAGTGACGAAGAGGGTTATGGATATTCGGAGGACATCCGCAGACAAACAAGGGCCATGAAGAAGGCAAGAAATTCGCAACTTTACTGATCGGTAAGATGCTTTACCGGAGAAGCTCGAGGTATCTCGCCGACCGAGGCTACACGGTGAGTGGAGTGTCCAATGATAGACTTAGATAGCTATAAACACAGTTTGAAAATACACCCCAAAATAGGAGTAACTGAAAATAATAAGCTTAGTCCACGGCATTCCAGAAGCCTAAAACTTGGCCTTGATGCTCTTTGGCTCGTACTCTGCAATACACTCGATCTCCACCTTGATGGAGGGATTTGGGAAAGCAACACTAAATTCAGGTTAGTAAACGGTAAGACAGCTCATCTGAGGATACTTACACAATACAAGATCTGGCCGGGGCGCCTGGGAAGTACTTGGTGTAGACCTTGTTCACGGCCGGACCGTAGGATGGGTGGCCGACAAACAACAAGACCTTGAGGATCTTGCTGGCAGAGGAGCCGGAAACTTCGAGCACCTTCAAGAGATTTTGGAAGGCAAGCTCGGCCTGGGAGGTGATATCCTCGGGAATCTTGTCGGTCGCGGGATCGGCGCCGATCGCACCAGAGGTGAAGATTAAATTGGAACCGTTGGTGGTCAACACCGCCGGGCTGAGCACGGACAATGGCATGGATTGGATCGCTTCCCAAGTAAGATTCTTGACCATTGTGAAGATACGGGGTTGTGGAGTGAGGGTGCTGGATGGTTGAAAGCCAAATTGCCTTTTCAGCCCCCTTGTATATGCGGGGAGGGTAAGAAAAAGAAAAGCTGAAGCGAGCCCTGACATTGCTCTCATCCACAGTGAGAGGTTTTCCGGCTAGATTCTCTGACTTGCCGATTACAAAAAAACAAGAATTCTAGTGAATTACTATCCGTTTAAGCTATACTGTTTGAGGGTTTTGTACACCAAAGACTTTATTATTCAGCTGCGTCCTATAAAGCCTACGTGCGACCAAAAAATGTCCCGCTTACAACCCATGCTACAGTGATCCTTATAAACGTGCATTGGACTTTGGATGCATCGTGCGCTCAAAGGACAAGTCCCTGGTGATTACAACTTCGCCTTGACGGCCTTCGGATCGTACTCGGCGATGCACTCCAACTCAACCTTCACGGCTGGGTTTGGGAAAGCAACACTAAAGTCAGGTTAGTAAACGGTAAGACAGCTTATCTGAGGATACTTACACGATACAAGATCTACCCGGGGAGCCTGGGAAATACTTGGCGTAGACTTCATTAACAGCCCCGGCATAGCCCGGGTGGCTAACGAACAACAAGACCTTGAGGATCTTGCTGGCAGAGGAGCCGGAAACTTCAAGCACCTTCAAGAGATTTTGGCAGGCAAGCTCGGTCTGTTTGGTGACATCGTCTGGAATCTCACCCGCTGCGTCAGTCCCAAGCGCGCCGGACGTGAAGACCAAGTTGGAGCCGTTGGTGGTCAAGACGGCTGGGCTCAATAAGGCATTGCCCTTGGATTGGATAGCTTCCCAAGTAGTGTTCTGGACCATTTCGGGTGTGCAGAAATGGAGTGGTATAGTGTTAAGAAAAGCCTTTCACGGAGGAAACGTAAATCAGAGGTTGGCCTGCGGATTTCGCCTGTCGTACACCGCGCTTAAAAATGCGGAGGCATGAAAAAAAGAAACCCGGCCGGTGCTCCGAAATTACCATATGTACATTGGAGATATAAAGTGCCATCTCCACGTAGAGAGGGTGACAAACATGTGTAGAGGCTTCAATAGCGGTAAAGTTTGATATAACCTGGGTTTAGGCTATCAGTACCTTGCAAACCAGTTGGATATTTTTTTAGTCTACTCAAAGAACGGTAAATGAAGTCTGTCCTCTGTCTAGATCTGTATTTCCCAATAATTCTAGGCGTTTGCATCAGAGTTTGTCATTTTACAAGACTCGAATAATAGAGTATCTATGAGGAGTATGAGAATCTATATTAGTTATGGTTATATGCTATTGGGTTCTATATGAGTCAAGCGACTTGACCAAGGCGCTGGCATGGGGTTTGGGAGCCACGATGTGTGGCGGGAGGCCCTTTTCCACAAGATAGTCCTCAGTGGTGGGTCCAATGGAGGCGAGTCTCACGTTTGTTGGCAAGGCGATGTTGGTCAAATACTCCACGATGTACTCTGTACCCTGAGGGCTGAAGAAGATGATCCAGTGCGTGGTTTCTCCTTCGGTGATATGTTCCGAGTAGGCCGCCTGGAAGTTCCTCACAATGTCGGCTCGGGGAATGGTCTTGTAGATGACGCGTTCCAAAACATTGAATCCGCTGGCAGCCAACTTTCGCGGGATAATGTCCTTTCTGATCTCCCCCGTGAAGAAGACAATCTTCCCCGCTCCGCCTCGGTAGATTTCATGGTCTATGATGATGTCAGACAAGACAGAGCCGTTTCCCGCATCGATCCCGCCTAACACACGGCTAAACCCAGCAGCTTTTAAGATGCTAGACGTCGCAGGGCCCACTGTGAACGCTGGTTTGTCGAGGATCGTGGTCTTGGCAGCGGTATTCGGTATGAGGTCCATGCATTCGTTCAAGCACTCAACCGCCCTCTGTGAAGTAATTATGAAGGAAGCAGCCAGGGCGAACACATCGCTGAGAAGGAACTCCACGATCAGACGCTTTTCCAAGTGGATGTGCTCCAACAACGGGATGAAGTGCGGCGTGTAGCCAGCCTCGAGGAACTGGGCCTCGTAGGGGTCACTCGGCGTGGTTTTGTTCTTAAGAAGGAGGACATTAGAGGGCATGATGACTAATACAGGAGATTTGAGCGGTGGAAATAAGGGGTAAGTCCAAGAATTTAAGCACTCCGGGACCGAGGTGCGACATGCCACGAAAAGTCACGAGGAAAAGCTTGCATGCCAGGCAGGGTCGATCTGAAATTCCACCCATCTGATAGCTTCGGATTTTACACGGTTTACGCCCGGCACATCCAGATGGTGGATTTTACCAATCATATATTTCACTCAGATGTCTGATTGGTTTAGACCGTTACGTCTAGCCACTTATCCAAGTATTATTTTAGTAGCCCCGCAGCAAAGCCCGAGGGCTAGGATTAAGCCGGTAGATAGTGGCTACCGGCTCGTCTAGAACCCCAGGCCTTTTCTTCGGCTCCCAGCGGTTGCTTTACTAACTATACCGCAGTTGCCGGTTACTTGCCTTGATTAAAAGAGATCGCGCACCCGGTAGCTTCCCATCTCAGTCCCTAGCCCTTTATTTTCTACGCCAGGTTAATTACAAGACTTTTACAGAAATATATATATGAAGAAAAAAATCACGGTGGCCCACAATCTGATAATAACACAACTCATAGAAAACGACAGAATCTACTTCGGGCCTAGATACCCTAAAACTCCTTTAGGCCAAGGCAGTTAATCCTCATCTGACACAACAGTCGTTTCAGCCAACAAAATCAACTTCTCGATCGACGCAAGATGCTTACCAAACGACGACTTTGATATCTGCTTCAAGTACAACTTAATCTTGGCGATCAACAACTTTTTCTTGTCGCCACGGGTGACCTCGACCAATTTCTGCACCACATAATTCGCAAACTGGTCCTTCATCATCAACGCCAAGGCGGAGTTTGGCTCGATGATGTCGGTGTTGGTGATATCATTGTTGTTGCGCAATACCTCGACGAGAATAGCGCTCCGCTGCTGGGCGTCGCCGTAGACAATGCACTTTTCCACGACATTCGACGCAAATTTGTGCTTTGACAAGTTGACAACCGCGCTGTTGACCACCAGGAAGATCTCCTGGCGGCGCTGCTCATCGCCCTTCTCCAAGATGTGCTGAATCACGTAGTTCCCGTACTGGTCCTGGATCAAGTAAAAGGTGAACTTGTGCAACTCCGCAAGGATCGCCTCCTGGTCCTCAGGCCCGGAGAACTCCAACAAGCGCTGGATCACGCGGCACCCATACGGATGGGTGGAGAGGTGGTAGATTTGTCCCTTGACGGACGCGAGGATGAAGCTCACCTTGTGGAACGGCCTCACGGCCTCGATCGACTTCTGGATCACGTGGTTCCCGTTCTGGTCCTTGATGAGCTGGATCACGCGGTCCTTGAACTCCTCCATGATGCGGTACTGGTTGTTCGCATCCACAAACTCAATCGCCTTCTGCACCACACGGCACCCGTACATCTGCAACGAGAGCGCGATAAAGTTGCCCCACATGATGCTCAACAAGACAGACTTCTGGAGGTCGTCGCCGAATTCAAAGTACTTCTGGATGACATAATTGCCAAACACATCCGTCATAAGCTCATACGCAATCTCGCGGATCTCGTTGAAAATAACCTCCTTGTCCTCGGCAGAGGTGCTCGCGGCGCTCAAGAGCTGCTGGATAAAGCGCGACCCGTGCTGGTCCTTGGAGAACTCGATTCCGTGGCCATAGATATCCTTGAGCGAAAACTTGTCCAACGGGCTGTCACAGTTGCGGATCTCCTCGAGGAGCGGCGACCTGTAGATGTTACTAGGCCCGGCCTTTTCCTTCTCCTTCTCCTGGCGGCGGCGCCCTCGCTTGCCAGTGCTAGGCGCAACAAACTCTTCCTTCTTTGGCGGCGAGGCTGGAGGCTGCGGCCCGCCGTACATGAACTGCGGTTGGAACATCCCGTACTGGCTGAAGGAGGGGAACATAAATGGCGATGAGTTTTGCATGTTACGGTTCAACAAGTTGTTCAAGTATCCACCTGGGCGGCCCGTGTCTGGAGAGACGGAAACCGGGGTGGGAGCTGGAACTGGCTCTGGTGCTGGCGGAGAACTTTCGCCTTTGAAAGCGCCTGGCACAAACAGCTGTGGGTCGCCTCCTGACATGAACGGCTGGGGGTCGCCTCCTGGCATGAACGGCTGGGGGTCTGGCCCGAACAGCTGGTTCATAAACGGATATGGCGGATACATCTGGGGGAATACCTGCTGCGGCTCGAAGGACGGGAAGAAGGATGTAGCGTTGGCTGGGTTCCATATGTTTTTGGCCTCCTCCTGGCTGTTCATGTCCATCGACACCGAATTGTGCTCGGAGTAGCTATCGATCTTTTCGCTGATCGACTGATGTCTAACACCGGTGTAGTTCATGTTCAACGAGTCGGACACCGGCGAGTGCATCTCTGGGAGCTCGCCCGAGGCGTTGAGGTAGATGGAGGACGAGTTAGGCGACGCAAGGAACTGCTTGTTGTCGCTGTCACGTATCGGCTTGGCGCGGCCGCCGGAACCGATCGAGAGGGTGCCCATGCTGTTGAGTAACTCGACCTCCTTGGTGGCTTCGCTGACGTTTGCGAAGCGCTCCAAGAAGCTACTCTTGGCACCCACCTTGGTTCCAGCACTGCCAATGGACCCGGGAGCCACCGGCATGTGGTGGTTGGGCACGCCCGCAGAGATGGACGCGGTGGCAAAGCCCAGAAACCCATTGTTCGGCGGGTTGTAGGCCGTGCCCAACGGCGCGGAGATCGCAGATAACGTACCACGCTTCACCCCGAACGGGCTGCGGGTGAAAATGTCATCTTCATCGTTCTGCGAGTAGCTGGAGAAGCGTCTGCCCTCGAGCTTACCCGAGGGGACGACCATGCTCACAGACGAATCAGCGCCAAAGACCGAGCGAAACTTTGGCGATGGCGGAGGGTTGGACCAAATGGAAGAGATTTCTTCAGGCATGAGTCAAACAAGGTGATCAGAGACAAAGGTTGGGTGGTAGGCAATGGGTACGTGGACGGCACAAATGTGGCAAGATAGACGTTGTGGATGACCAGGCTGAATTAGTTGCAACAGTTGTCAAAGGATTTGTCGAGGGATCGTCAAAGAGGCTGTCGATGGACTAACAAAGGGGTTGGTGGCGGCTGGTCGGTAGTCTCAAGTATATACAAGGAGAGACGAGGATATGTACAAAGGCACCAGCGTTCTTAGAGGTTGTGATATGTACAAGGTAGGTCTGGTAGGACTGAGAAGACAAACGGGACAAAGACGTAACGGATTCTGTTCAAATGGAGTCGGTTTGTAATCTAAAATATCCCCGGTGGCTAAAAAGCGCAAAACAGAACGAAACCCAGAGCGAGTCGCACGAAACACATAGTGCAGGAAAAATTTAGGTTTTGACGAAGGCGGCCTGTGGCCGTTACGTAAGCATGATGGAGATTGGACCTCCCGTGTCAGCCCGGAGGCTGCCCGATTGGGTGTGCGGCGTCTTAAACGTTAATCGTCTGGGCTACAGAGATAATCAAGATTTAACACTACTCGGAATCTGGCTTTTGGGTCGTGAAATTATCGTTTGCCAATCGCCGCCCACGGATAAATGATAAAGCCTGACAGATTGACGGGGCAGGTGTATAAAAAGGCCTGGGCTGGGTTCTTGGTTGCGCTCTGCATATCCTTTGCAGATCCTCGTCGTAAAACGCTCTTCTGGCGGGTGGTGTGCGAGCCAGTTGGCCATTGTGGACTGGTATCTACACAAGAAATGTGGAAGGCATGGAATACGGGGTTACCACCATTATTCTACTGGCGCTGTCTCATTCCCGTTAAAGTGTATCCATTGGCCTACTGGCTAATTGGTTTAATTTATTATCTTTGGCCACCATTTTCACTTTTGGCCTTTCCCTGCCACTATCAAGTGGCTTTGATTGACCATTAGTTTGTGATTTCTCTCGTGACATCAGCTTGTAATGTTTAGCTCTGCACTGTGGCTCGCACTTTGCCCCAGTGGCTGGTTCTGTGGCGCAGCAAATCAGCCTGCCCTACAGGACGGAAAATAATTCAGTATCGGCTACAGGCTTAACAACAGTAGAGCAATATCCACAGCACTCAAATAACCATAATCGCCCATGTCCGCGCCCAAACCCATCGGGAAGGAGTCCCTCAACAAGGTTATGAAGTTGTTGTACCTCTCGACGGCTGCCGATGTGCAAAGCCAGACCCAACGCCTTGCCAACGAAATTCGGAGGTCCCACCTCCAAGACCGGCTTGAAAGTATCGGGGAGCCCACATCCAACTTCACTCTCCAAAAAATTCCCTCTGTCACGACCCACGGTTTGCTTGAAGCGACCCATAAGTTGAAGAGCATCACCGCGGCACCGCAACACATCCCATACACCGTTGGCCAGCCCCAATCGCACATCCTCCACTTTAGATCCAAAAACTCGCTCCTCACAAAGGTGGACTTTATCAACTTGCTCCCCAGCGTGGAGCAGTCCATATACAACACTGCAGAGTTACCCAACCAGAGATTGGAATTTGAGGTTGTGAAGGCACGGAAACCAGAGACCTTGCTTTTCGACAACGGCTACTATCTCATTTTCCCTTCCTACGAACAGGCTTGTGTCTTCTGGAGTGAGACGTTTGGGAAGCAGTTGAGTGGAAAGGAGTTTCGGTTGGTATTTGCAAGTCTCAGCGAACACTACCAGTGCATCCATTCCGAGACCTTGGGGGAGGTTCTGCCCGTTCTCCAGAGCTATTTGCCTGAATTACCGGCTTACTTCAGTCACAGCGAATGGGAGACTGGCTACCACCCCCAGGCGCCAAGGCTTGTCGTCAAGCGAACCCAGTGTGCGTTGGTGCGCAATCTTCCGTTCCACGTCACGGCAGACTCGATCAGAAACACTCTCTGGGACTACGACTTCTACAACACTCCGCGATCCCTTCAATCGCTATTGAAGGGCGAAAAATTAACCATGGAGCCCACCCAGCACATCTTCCAGCACCGAAAGTCCAACTCCAACATCTGGTTGTTGCGTTTCGCAAACCACAGCAATGCCACACGGTTTGTGCGCTCATTCAACGGAACCCAGTGGTATGCGAACAACAATATCGCCTTAAACAATTTCTTCAAGCTCAGCGGTAAGCGTGTTTCGGAAACAGGCGAAAGCGTCACTGAGGAGTATGCTACGGAGCATGATGAGGGCAAGTACACAGAGCCTTTGTTGTGCGAAATCCTTGATTAATGGGTCTTGTATATATGGGGTAATGAAAGAAACTTTCAGATACGTAAGAGTGTAACGGAGGTCATGAGTAAGCAGGTTGGCCGTCATGATACATTCCTTGTAGACCTTTAAGCGCCGAAAGCTTTCTTATTTCTGGTACCTCTTGATTATCCCGCCCTGAACTGAATGGTCTCTTACCGCACTCTTCAGCGGTTGAGAGACCTCGGGAGAACGACATAAAAGCGTGAGCTGTTCGCACTTAGGATCAGATGTTAGAACCTGGAGCACATGCATCATGCACGAGTTTTTTTGGGTAACCAACTAGAGAATTACCGGTTTTAGCGGGTCTTCGATTCCATCCCCAATTGGTCCCCAACTTTAGACTAGCGATGATGTATTAGAATCAGTGCCAAGTGATTGTTGAGTTATGTGCGTGCTTTCTCACGAGGCAGCGTTTAATCTCTTCACCGAGTGCTCCATATTCATAACCTTCGGTCATAGAGCCAAGACTCCCCACATAAAGTGTAGTATATCTACATGGGTTACGAGATAACCGGGCATGATTGATCATTAGACGTGAACTAGGTATACAACGAAGCGATCAGCTGGTCTTTATATAAACTAGCTGACAAAGCTTTGTCTCAAACTTGTTCAGAGGTTGGTACGTTATTAGTATTTCCCGCTCTATAGCTTCACGTGGGGCACCTGCAACACCTCTACTACATAAAGATTATCAAAAACTAGCCATAAATTAACCAGAAATACAAACTATACGCGCGAAAAGAAAAAAAAATATAAAAAGCATAGTACACCCCCAAACCCCCCTTAAACTTCGACAAACTCCGTGACCGCAGCCAGGATCAGAACCGCCTGGCTGGCAAAGAGGCCACTCACACGTTCCTTCCCAAGCATGATGGTTCCCAAGGTGGAACGCAAGACCTTGCTCGACGCCTCGGTAATCTTCTCGGTGTAGATAACATTAATACCAAACTGGTGGAGCACGGACGCGGAAAGAATGAGCAAGAGTACCGGCAACCAGAAGAAGAGCAACATCTTATCCTGGTTAAGATGCTTCTTCTTTTCCAAAAGCATCACCATATCGTCCCCAGAGTCCGACGTGTGATTAGCCCTGTCATCTTCAAGGACCATGGAAGAACCTTCGAGAGACGGGCCTTGGGTGATCAGAACGGTCTTATCCTCCTGTACCTTGAACAACTGGCTAGGAGACGGATCGTGAGGGAACAAGTCGGAATAGTTTGGCAACGAGTCTGACTCGTCATGGGAGTGCGTGTGATCTGATTGGAAAACGTTTCTGACACGTCTCCACAAGGTGATCGGAGCTTCCTGAGACGATACTGACGTACGGCGCTCGGTGGTGCTCGGAATATTAGAGCCAAATGGATGTTCATTGTCGGCATCAGACGAGTATTCATACTCATCATCCCCATCTTCATCCTCATCGACCTCGCGTTTACGCTCGGAGCCAGCTTCCAGCACACTCGGAGCATCGTCAACGACAACCTCGGTCATTTTCAGAATGTGCTGGCCAAAACCAAACACCATGCTTTCCAAAGAATCGTAGCTGGAGGACTTTGGTAACGGCGCGCTTCTCAATTCCTGCGGCTCCAAGTCATTGAACATGTCCAACACATTCAAGTCACAGTAGTCCTTGAGCATCTTACCGTTGGACAACTTCACATCCCACTTGGCCTTGCAGTCAACCAAAACCTTGATCAAGCGGCGGTTACCCGTCATCCCGGCGTAGAACAACGGGGTAAGCCCCTGTTTGTCCTTACAATCGACCTTGCACCCGTGGAAGATTAAAAACTTGACCAAATCGGTAAAACTCTTCAGCGTAGCAAGATGGAGCATCGTCTGGCCCTCAGGAGTGCACAAGTTGAAGTTTGGCGTGGTGATAGGGCAGTTAGGAAGGTCCACAAGCGAGAGAAACTTGGTGAGGATCTCCTCGGTGGACACCCCGGACTGTGACAAAAGGTTCGCAGTGTTCTGGGCGTTCTCGTACCATTCGTCGGTGACGGAAGCGCTAGTTGCGTCACTGGCCCCGTGGGCATTACCACTGGCACTTCCCAATGCGTGGGTACCGCCGGTGCTGTCGGTCCCGACGATCCGTTTGGCAATATTCCTGGCATCCTCCAACTTACCGTTCATCTTCAACCCCACAATCTGCAACGCCAACTCGATCAACTGGCGGTCGGTATCGTCCAAGTAGGTGAACACCTGCTGGTGCGCCCCGCTGGAGTACCCAGCCTGGGTGCTGTTCCAGCTCTCGTAATTTTCAAAGCTTACGAGCACCTGTCCCGGTTGCAGCGCCGGCGGGAGATACGTCACAATCGTCGAGTCGCTCCAGCAGTGCGTGGCTAGCGCCTGATTAGCACCAAACTTGACCACCATGCCCGGACGGAAGTTGCACCCCAAAAGCGTAACCTCGATCCCGCCTCGGATAGGGCCCTGAGCTGGGATGATGCGCTGGATGGAGGGAAAGTTCGGCGGGGGCGGCACTGGCATGTGCACCATCTGATGGTGCGAGTAGCTCTGGAGCGACGCCATCAGCGGGTGCTGCAGTTGTACCACAAAGCTGTTGTTTGCCACGCTCGGCGGGGTGCTCGCCAACAGCGGCTGGTTCACGGAAAAGTCAGTTTGGTGCGAGATGTCCATCAGAGACACGGTCGACGGACGGTGGCCGTGGGGAACGCTAGGAGGCGTGAAGCTGTTGCCGTTCAACGTCATGTTCATGTACGACGTCTCAAGAGGCGAATGCAACATTGACGGCGGATCGAAGTTGCCAAAGCTGTTCTCCTCCACACGCTTTCTCTTACTCGCGCGGGTTCCGGCGTCGAAGCTCATGTAGTTTGGATTCGTGCTCGCCTGGTCTGTGGTATGCGGCTCGGAGGAGAAGGATTCGTCCACCGAATTGGGCGACCCTGTCACGGTCTGCTTCGCTTCCTTGGGGTGGGGCGTGACGGTGGAGTGTGTTTCAGAGCCGGCACTACCCATCCCGCCCGCATTGTTCTTCTTCCGATCCATGATCATGATCGAGTCGCTGAGGGCACGGGAGACAATTTCGTCCTTGTTGTTGCGCAACACAAACAAGATCTTGAACCCCTTGGACTCGTTGTGGTGTCTGCAGTAGCACACGATTCTGGCGCTGAGCTCCAAGGCCTTGCTGGTGGTGGCGGCGTCCAACCCGGTGGGCTGTGGGAAGGAGATGATCTCCTTACAGTTGAAGATGACCGCGCGCTTGCTGACGGAGTCATCCCACGACTCGTTGCCTCCGGTGGGGGCCGGGGTCGCGGGGGCGAGCAAGTTGGACTGCTTTCTTCTGGAAGCACGCTTCTGTTCACGCTTGATACAGCGGGAGCAGATCTCGCACGATTGGTTGTCGGACGTGAGCACGTAGGTATCGAGATATAACAAGTGCGGCTTTACTGAGGCTGGGAGCTCGTTTGTGAGACACAACTTCGGTTTGGAGATAAGGTCGTTGGAGAGGTGGATCAAGAACTGTTCCGGAGGCGGCAGAAACACCAACTGCAACTTGATTTGGGTTTCGACTCTCAGGCAGGAGGGTAATCCTTTAATCACCATGTGGTGGGGGAGCTTTTTGTCGTTGTTAAACTGGGCAAGGGACTCCATGGCCTTTAATTCTTGCTTTAAGGCCTGTGGGAGCTCGATCTCAGTGTTCATCGGTACCTGGGGGCTGCCAAACTTTAACTTAGAGAGTTCGTCGCGTGCAACTTCGTAGAGCTGGAATTCGCGAGTGGACATGTTCGCATTCGGACTCGCAATAATACTTGCACTTCCACTCACATTTCCATTCGGCTCATTCATCATCACTTCGTTTGTGCCTCCGTTGCCCATATAGTTTATCTCTTCGGTGATTTGCATGTTCAACTCATCGGTGATGAAGCTGTTGAACAAGTCGTTTGTCTCGACCATCTCCGGCTTTACAAACGGAAGAGTTTCGAGGCCGTTGGACGGTGGGGTGTGGAAGATGTTGGTGTGGTTTGACGACGTGGATGAGTCTGCGGGGCTCAACACTGGTTCGCCTAGCGAGCGGGGCTGAAATGTATACTGAATATCGGCCATCATGAGGTCATTAGGGGTCTCGCCCGCCTCGCCTTCACTGAAGACACGTTGGTCGAGAAACTCGTCGAGAAGGCTGTCGTGTTCCATTTTCATGGTTTCAAGGAGCTGGTGGCTCATGTTTTCCGCCATTGCCATTGGGGAGGTGAAGGGATTGGGTCACGATTTGTTGGGTCTGGTCTGAATAGCACTGTGGGAGCGTGCAATAAGTCGGTATATAGAGCAATAATTCGGTTTAGGTAAATATAACGTATAGATACTGAGATAGTTAGGCTGAAGAGGGGGGTGAGTATTTGTGGTTGCGAATTCAGGTTATATTTTTTTTTTTTTGGTTCTGATTTTTGATGACGCTATCAAAATTCTCCCTGCAAATGGTTGGGCACGCGTAATATTTGGATGCCTAGTCGATTGGCAGGCCCTCGGCACTGCCCAACGTATAACTGCGTGTGTGCACCGACTCACGTGTATTTCGTCGATCTTGCTGTAATTGCCAAAAAGCCTAAATGGCTGTTTCCGTGATAATTAAAGAGGAAAACAAGAACTAACCTAGATCTGGGTTTCAGGGCCGGTTTTAAGTACATAGATAAGGAATAGAATAAGGATGAGGTCTCAAACTCGATAAAAACGGTATTACCTTTAAACTTCTGGCGCTGATTATAAAGCTTGGTTTGAAAGAATACGGACCTCTCATGGGGTTCCATAGCCATCGGCACCATGGCCCCTGTCCTAGTTTCCGCTTTGGTGACGATCCGAAATTTAGGGGCCCTTGGCCTAGACTCCACTGTAGAAGACACAGTGCTAGACGGCGCCCCTCGTGCGGAACGTTCCGGCTCTCAGTTCATTCCTTTGTTATATCGTTTTGTATCATATCTCTATCGTTTTCATAGCCTCCGGGTTATATTTCGTGCGAACACGTTGTGGAAGCTTTAAACCTAAAACACCAGCGGCGATGATCGTCCCATATTGTGAATAAAGGTGAATCTCCGATGCTTGGCATTCGGCTTTAGTCTAGCCCTCGAATTTTAGTCTATCCCCAGAACTCTAGTCTTGTTCGACGGCCGCCAATACCTTGGAGGCTACGGAAAGCTACCTTGGGGATATGAACTTTTTTGAACCACGGGCGTGGCGAAAAGTATTGCTAAACATATCTCTGAGGCTTCAACTGACATGAGGTTTAAGCGTGAAGCCATCCAAACTGTGGCATCTGCCTCACACGTTGCATTAAAGCGGTTTGTGTGGGAAAATACAGGTTTAACCTCGTTTTGATACACCAGATATATAAGAGAAGGGGGGCTAGAGGGGAATCCTGTGGGTAGAGAGACGTTTAATCGGTAAATATGATCCCGTTGAATTATTATAATCCTCGATAAACGTTCAACTACGGCATCCAAAGGGAATCAACTTAAGGCGTTTAGTTATATGCAGTGTTCTAGATATAGTCGTGATCATTTCATACCCAGGAGAAAACTATATCCTGATATGAGACATTTACATACTAGGTTGTAGTATCAAAGAATCTTTGGTTCTAGGTGGTAAACCCTGGGCGAAGCTATTCGACTCCCGCTCGTCGCCATAGAAAGCCGCTAAGAAGTTATGGACTACCTTCCTAAATCAACCTTTTATCATAAATATGGCAGATATGGCCTGTTTCACCATCTATTCACCACCAGGTCAACTACGCTTCTTAAATTTGTCATTAACATCAATGTAATATTTACAGGTTCGGAATTCATCGAACTGGTTGCGCACATACTTATAACCCGCATGCTTCGCTCATGCTTCAACCCTCACCCCAACCTTCTTCTCCTCCTTCTTCTCCCCTGTCTTCTCCTCTGTCTTAATCACCGTGTTGCTGACATGTCTAGATCGGTTAATCCTTTCCCCGCGACAAACCTTCTCCATCTCGTCCTTATTCAACGTCTCGTACTCCAACAAACCCTGCGCGAGACGTTCCAACTCAACGCCGCGCTCCTTCAACACGCTGCGTGCGCGGTTCTCCGAATCGATCAACATCTGGCGCACCTCCTGGTCGGCCAAGTCGCGCAACTTCGGTGACCACGAGTCCCAATCATCTGCCATACGCACGGGTCCGATCTTCTCACTCATGCCGTACTGTGTGACCATTGCGCGCGCAGTACCGGTCGCACTTGCCAAGTCGGACGAACAGCCACTGGTGGTGTTGTCCGCACCGTTCTTGTACTCCTCCGCGATCTTGCCTCCCATGCAAACATCCAAGCGTGCGAAGCATTCCTTGCGCGTAATGTCATGCTTGTCCATTTCTGGTAACTGGAAGGTGACTCCCAACGCGCGGCCACGCGGCAAGATGGTGGCCTTGTAGAGCGACGTCGCGCCCGGGGTGTACAACGCCATGATTGCGTGCCCCGCCTCGTGGTACGCGGTGTTCGCGCGCGATTCCTCCGTCATCACCATCGTCATCTTCGCAGCACCCATAAGGATTTTATCCTTGGCCCACTCAAAGTGCGCCATGTCGACCGCAAGCGCATTCTGCTGCGACGCGTGCACTGCCGCCTGGTTCACCAAGTTCATGAGCTCCGCCCCGGAGAGTCCCGGGGTTCCGCGCGCAATGACCGTGGCATCAACGTCGCCGCTCGTCTCCACCTTCTGCATGTGGTGCCTCAAGATGTCTGCGCGCCCCCTGACGTCTGGCAATTCCACGTTAACCTCCTTGTCAAACCGGCCCGGTCTGGTCAATGCCTTGTCAAGCGACTCGGGGAAGTTGGTCGCACCAATGATGATGATCCCTTCCGTTTGCGAGAATCCGTCAAGCTCCACAAGAAGCTGGTTGAGGGTCTGCTTGGCGTAGGCCTGGTCCTTGGGGTTTCTTTTGCCTCCGATGGCATCCAACTCGTCGATGAAAATGATCGCGGGCGAACGCTCACGCGCCTGCGCAAAAAGCTCGCGCACGCGCTTCGCGCCGACCCCGACATAGAGCTCGTCAAACTCAGACCCGGACATGAAGAAGAACGGCACACCCGCCTCGCCCGCGGTCGCGCGCGCAAGAAGCGTCTTACCGGTGCCCGGAGGACCCGTAAGCAACACGCCCTTCGGCAACTTTCCGCCCAAGCCGGTGAACTTGGCCGGGTCCTTCAAAAACTCCACAATCTCCTCAAGTTCCGCGCGTGCCTCATCAACGCCGCACACGTCCGCAAACGTCACCGTCGACTGCGACACATCGATCGACTTGTCGTTCATGTCGTTGTTCTTGAGGATGCCGGCCTCCATGAGTGTCGTGAGGAGGCGTGAGCCGGCGTACGCCACGAGCCCGAGCGTGATCACCCACTTGAGCCACTTTGAGAGGATACTCCAAACGGACTCGGTGAGCACCACGTGGACGGGGGCGTTAGGAGAGCCGTAAGAGCCGGAAAAGCCAGTGCTGCCGTGGATCCCAACCCCAGAGCTGGCGAGCTTGCCCACGGACTCGGCCTTGGCAGAGCTACCCGCCTTCTGGAGTGCAGCCAAATAGAGCTGTGTGCACTCGGCATCCGCGGCGATGCCGGGGGTCTCGTACCGGGAGACGACGATGTGGGGGTAGTTGGCGTCGAGGAGGGACTTGTAGAAAGCGGACTGCTGCGCGGGGTTGGAGAGGTTCAGGTTCGCGAGCTGTTCCTCAGCAGCGAGAGCGGCTTTTGCCTGAGCTGTAGCGTAGCCGCGACGCCCAAGCGGCCAGCAAAGGGAGGCAAAGTTTCTAGGCGACGCAAAAACAGAGGTGGCGCGGTAAACGCCCTGGGAGGACACGTGGGGGAAAAGTCCTGGGTGGCTTGCGGAGCGCTGTATCAACTTGGCCCACTGTGACATGTTTATAGCAAAAGGTTTATGGTTCACTGCAGTACCCGTGGTTATCGATGGGTGTAGATGAGAGTGACATGAACGCAAGAAATGATACTAATTCTGAATTGGAGTTCGCTGACAAAAGAAAAAGTCGTGTGCAGCGCAGACTGGTGTTCGACGGGCTTCCACGGTGGCAAGGCAGGGTAACGGGTTGAAAGGCTACAACGGGTGGGGATATCGAGTTTATAAGGTCTGGTGTGGGTTGGTGTTGAAATCTAACTCCACAGCTCGGCAGTTCTAAAATGGATGGAAATAAAGAATGGTGACATATTCAGGTGATTCGTAGGGCACTCTTTTTAGTTAGTATTGTATAGTATGTACCAAGAGCGTTAAGCAGACTTAACTACGTCGACCAACTTTAAACTAAAACTAGCTGTATAGAACTGTGCTCGATCGTGGTGTCAATGAAATTCATGTCTGGCTCCCATCAGAATTACCATAAAAGTATGTATTTACCAAATAATCTGTCTTTACAGCCCTGTAGCTATTTCAACTCTAATTAAAACATCCTTATTAAACTATGCATCATAAATAAATCCGACTACAAATCCTACTAGTCGGATGCATCACAGATCTAACATTTCAATGAAAAAATCCTCAAGGCATACAATATCCAACAGTAGAAGTACACCCCTACGCAATCAGCACGCTCTCCAACCCCTGGATGGCCATGTCGGTCAACTCATCATTATTGGTGATCGTTAACCCATGCTCATTCGCCAAATGAAGCACACAGATAAAACAGAAACTGGTGGACAAGTCTTTCCGGGCCTCTGGGGCGTAGAACTTGGTGATATCCCGCACCACGTCGCTAAATTGTGTCTCCTCTTTCACCTCCTCGCTCTTCCGCGTGGCTAGGGCGCTCCAGATGTTATCCTTTAGCAACTTGACATCCACCTTCTTTGCCGTCCTCGCGTAATTCACGTACTCTGGCCGGACCTTTCGTCCGAGCAACGCGTTCAACGGCTGCGAATCCGGCGGGTCCTCAAAGGCCTGGCCCATGTCAAAGTCCTGGTTGAAATCGTCCTCAATTTCATCGTTCGCAGGCTCCGGGCTGACTTCTGGATGGTCATATGCAGCCGCAAAGAAGTTTTCATCCGCCACTGGCTCTGGCGATGAGACCTTTGGTTTAATCCGCATCTGCTTCGCAAATACCGCGATGTTCACATGGGGCTTGAGCCCGAGCTTTGTGAGCTGTACCGAAGAAAACTGGATATCCACCGGCAAAATATTTTTCTCCTTGGTCATGTCTGCCTGCTCCTTCTTGGTCATGTTAATCATGTGCTTGAGCTTGGGGATTTCAAATAGCACATCTTCCTCGTCGTCTTCGTCCAAGCCCAGGGCTACGGCCTCTAAAAAGTTGATCACAAGCTTTTCCTTCTTTTTCCGTGGCTCGACAGAGCCCTCCTGCGGGGTATCCGCGGGCTCCTTTCTCCCCCGGTTTTTGATCGCTGATACCCGCCAGTGCTCGGCCCCACGCCAGTTGTTCTTCAACGACAGATCAAAGTACGCCATGAGGTCGTGGTCGATGATGTTTGCCACCACTCCGTCGTCAACTGCCTCGTCGAACGTTCCGTCGGGAACCACTTTTCCGACGCCGGTGCTGGCTCGCGACACGTTTCCGTCGGAGTCGTCGTCAAACATCTTTTCCGCGTCTGCTGGAAGCGCGCTCACGTTCTCAAAGCCCATGTCAAAGTCCTGGTAGTCGTTATCGGAGTCCTGGTCCACAGGAACATCAATCTCGCCCTGCATTTCCTCGAGAAGCACCTTAGCGTTCCGCGGGTCTTCGGCGGCCCGTTCAAGCGCGCGGAGCTGACTGCAGACCTCATATGTGTCGAGTTCCGCGGGGGTGTTGTAAAGGAAGTATTTTAAGTTGGAAATATCCACAGGGAGTGCGATTTCTTCGGATTTGACTTTGATCGAAGAGAAAGATATGTCTTTGGTTTTATTTTTTCCGGAATCAACATCAGTTTCTCCACCTTCAGCCTCATCAATTTCTCCACCTTCGGCCTCATCAATTTCATCTTCTCTTTTCATCTGCTGAGTGGTTGCGTCAAAAACCACCCTGCCGTCACTGTCGATCGCCAACGTGTTCAACAACAAGCTTTTGGCTCCGCCTTCATCAAACTCAGCCAAGGCCTTTTTGAACAATGGGTCGATGGTCAACTCCTTCTCAAACACCTTTAACCGTAACGCTTCAAACTCCACCAACGTCTTGGCGTTGCTGAGGTTCCGGCGCGATGTTTTCTTTGCCTTGGGGTCATCTTCCCCCTCCTCTCCCTCTTCATCCTCCTCGTCCTCTTCCGCTGGGGCTGCCTCGCTCGCCTCGTGCTGTTTCTTGGTGGAAAGCCCCGTAAGTAGCTTCCCAGTCTCTGTCGCCACAGAGTCGACCCTCGACAGATAGATCTTGACACAGCCGTCGAGCGTGGCCAGCGCTTTCTGGAAGTTTATGTTGTTGTCGCCGTCCGTAAGCACGCGCAAGTCATGGAAGTAATCGATCAATGCCACATTCCACGAGTTGGTGCTATTGATTTTGTTGTCTGTCGCGAGCTTGATCCACTCCTCGAAGTTTTCCATGCTGATATTGGTGGTGGTGGAGGTGGATCTCTGGTGGCGTCTCACGGGGAACACGTCGTCGTCGTCGTGGTCGAGAAGCGAGTTGGAGGCGTTTCCCACGCGGGTTTCGGGTGACTCCGGCCCCGTCTTCTGTCTCTTCTTCTTAGACTGGATGTATGACATGGCGTAATCGTTGAGATGTGGGCACTGATAGATCTGTGGTTCAGTTATAGCTTTCACCGTCGTTAGATATAGTTCTATCTGTGTTTAAGGTTATGGTGCGATAATTTGATCTGGATATAGAAGCTGAAGAGTAGGGTAGGGGCTGGAGATTGTGTTTGTTTACACTTTTCATGCTACGCATCACAACATGCGTCCTCATTTACACGCACGGAAAGGGACTTCTCGGCCGGGTGGATAACGGTTCTGGAGAGGTCCTAGTAAATGATCCATAAGGCCATATTTTGGAGATATACATGTATGCTAAAAATACCTCAACATCAGGATTAAAGGATTTCAACCTACACGTAGAAACAGTTGTCGCCGTGAATGGTTGGCTAGAGGCGATAACGCCACCACTCGTGCATACAAGGTTTCCATGCACCATGCAGCAGTCGATGGAACACAATATTCAGTGTTCCAATAGTCAATGTAATTGTATATCTGTCCGCATTGTACCGTAAATTTTAAATGATTTTTGGGTACAAGTAGTAACGTTTTGTGAACCTGACATCCCAATCTGTTTAAATGGAGGTTTACGCGAGATGGACGACATAGTCTATTTTTGTGCCCGTTACAGAACTAATGCTAGGGGTTGGACCATTAGACTTGGCAATATAAAAATAAAAATAAAAAACATAGGAGAACAGAGACATTATCTATACTCGACATTTCCTTGCATCTTGAAACCTGCCTGCCGCTCTTATGGACATTCCTGAGTACGAAGCAATTCTTCCAAGCTCTCTTCTATCCCTACCGATAACCCCTAGCCAAAGATCAAGTCCATAACAAAGCAGAAATAACCTCCCCAGGTGGCCTGCTCGACGATCCCACGCAACCACTTCGGCCGCACCAGGTTAAACACCCCACCACACTCACCCTCACCCGTGAAATCGCTCTCCACACCGATCCCGTACTTCAAGTACCGCCGGATGTTGCACGCCAGCAAAAAGTTCCACCACTTGGTGCGCTGGCACGGCGACACACGCAACAAGTTCTTCAACAACGGGCCGCGCGGGCCATCGATGTACTTTTTCAGCCACACAGACCAGTGCTGGCGCGGATCCTTCATCGGCAATGTCTGGTCGCCCCAGTGGCCCGTGTAAAACAACCACCGGCCATCAGCGTACTCCGTCGCCTCTCGGAACGGCACAGACCCGTTACCGGGAGTCAACCGTGCACCGTCAAACGTGTAGGCCAAGTAGTTCAACACCGGGTTCCAGAGTGACCCGCGGTCTGCATAATCGTTCAACATGGCGTACGGTAAGTCGTGGGGGTGCTGTCCAGGACTCGCATAGTTTGCGTGAGTCCCCCGTGCGCTAAAAAGGACGGGCTGGGTGTTAGAAAGGGAGCCCTCGGTAAATTTCATTGGATGGCTCCCGGAATCGTCAGCAAACTTCTGGTTCCCCTTACCAGCGTGCTTCATTGGCTTGGCCAAATTCGGCCCGTATTTTTCCATCGTCTCATACTCAAATGCTGCCCCGCCCCCGTGCGCAGACATCCACACAAGTACCGGCTCTCCTTCATAAAACCTTACGAGCGAGTGTTCCCAGTCGCCAACGTGGTTCCCATACGGCCCGTGGCCCATCACAAACGGCCCAAGATTGAACGAATAGAAATAGAACCAGTATGCATCGACCCAGCCGTTACCCTTATCCACCACTAGCACTGTCGCCGGGGCATCTTCCAACCGGCCGTCGTTCACGTCTGGCTGGTTGTGCACCCCGGTAATCCACGCGGGGTCGCCGTCGAAGTCGGAGTGGGACTTGAAGAAGATATCGTCCTCACCGTTGATGTCATATCCCGCATCTGTTTCGTCGCCAATTGGCCGGCAATAGGTTTTAGAGATGGTTGCGAGCTTCGTAAGGCTGAGGGGAAACTCACCTCCCGGAACGCTGCTACCGTTGCGGAATTCTAAATGGAAGTTTTTAACAAACTGGGCCGGGTCGTACGGCATGTACTTTTCCTCAGAGTAGAGGTAGATCGCCGGGGCGCACTCGGAAACGTACAGGGGGATCTCTCCAGGCTTTAAGCGCCGCTCCATCTCATTCGGGTTGGGCACAATCGGCGGCATGTTGCGGAACCTAGTTGAGGATCTGAGAACATTTGTAATTTTTAGCTCCGCTTCGGCAGAAAGAAGTTGGTGGGCAGCCACAAGCGGCGCAAGGAGAAAGAGGAGTAACATGAGTGTTGGTACTTATGAACCGAATTAAGGAGATGTGTTCTGAGGAACGGCCTGGGGGATACGTTTGGGATTTGGGGGGGTATTTTATGGTGGATGTAACCTTTGGCGATAGGTACAACACTAACTAAAGCCAGAAAGAGGGTGGATCCGTATAAACTACCGGAGGCGTGTAATCCTTCAGGCGCTATACCAAATGGATGCAATTCAGGTATAACGGGTTAGCCTGGTATCGTGATGGCTGCAAAGGTGGAGACTCCTGTTAGGATAAAATACCACCGAACACGGCTTATAAAGGCTTCAGGTGGTCCACAAACAGAATGGTAAGGCTGCGTGGGGTTAATGGATTCACTATCACTGATGACAGGGACAGTGAAATGGGGGGATGTTTTATATAATTCCAGTAAAACAGTAAAACAGTACTGGTAGTTTGTTGTACAGTGTATATTAAAACTGCGATAAAGACATTCAGGCAACGATATTACAAGGCTCTGCGCTATTTTTGACAGCTTTTGCTGCGGTTATCGGGCCAAAAGTTCCGATAGCGGACCGCTCGAATCCATTAGTCCTGTGCGAGGAAATCCGATGACGTCATAAAAAGAGCCATAGCTATGATTGGGCTCAACAGCATGCCCTATTAATGTCCGAAAGGGTGGATGGTTTAAATCTGTATCATTAAAATTGAAGGTCCCACTATCCTATTTGGTTGAATATTCAATATCGGTGATTATAGAGCACAGACTTATGCGACGTGCCCCCAACCAACATGTTATTCTGACCTCGGGCTGGGTATGTCTGCCCACCCTCCAGGGCATAACTGGGAAGAAACTATTTACGTTACACTATAATACAAGGTTGAGCTAATTTTTTTATTAATCTCCAGAGTGTTATGAATCCTACTTGGGCTGGTTGAAACCAGAATCTATAACGGAATGACTGAACTTTCGTAGTTCATGCCTATGCGATACACCCTCTTCTGGCTCTATCCCCAATTTCTCTTCCCAACTCCCCTTCCCAATTCCCCTTTCAATTATCAAATAGCCTATTTCTGGTCCTATAAACATCTACCCTCTTTTATGGGCTTCTCCATTCTTATAGGTAAATCTCAAGTGATCCTCATCGATGAGTATGAATCGATATCGAGATGACAGACCTTTTGTTTCGAGCTGCCCTCCTTTTTTCTCACCATATATCCAATTCCTACATTTTACTCTATCATTAATCATCTAATTATTCTATTTCTATGTACAGCCGACGCTACTTTTTCGCAGCTTCGATTCTGAGCTTCTCCTGGGCCAAGGCCACCTTTAGGAGCTCCTCTAGCTTCGGTGCGTGCAACTTTTCAGCCAACTCCTTAATGATCCTTTCATTCAACACTACCTTTTCACTGCCATCAAACTTCTCTATGTTGGCCCCGCCATTATGGTAGCACTCGTCCAACTTGTCAAACTTGACAACCTCCAAATGAGACTCTTCCTTGCTGGTCCCCTTCAAAAATCGTAAATGTCTAACACCCTGAAATGCCTCAAAGTGGCACCACGCGCGGAACATGAGCCAGAACAAGGGAATGTTGGGCAACACCGGGATCAACCCAAACGGAATCGTGAAGGGCGCCCCGAGCGCACACAACACGATCTTGCGCAAGTGCATCTGGTCGGTGGACAAGAGACTATCGACCAGGCTAATAATTTGGTGGTTCGACTGGAAGGTGGGGGCGTAGAGGGGTAACTTGATAAAGTGGTCTGCCATGTTAGCGGTGATCTCACTGGGCAAGCTCTGGATCTGGAGCGCCGTCAAGACCTTATGAGAGTCTTCGTCGAGGTGGTCCTTGGCAGAATCTTTCTGTAAGGTGCGCTTGAGCAACGCCTGGGACGGAATTGAGCGTAAACTGCCCTCGTTGTACGGGATCTTGTGCAACAACTGCTTCATATATTGAACGGTTTTCTTGTTGATGGCCAAGTCTGAGTCGCAGAGCTTCTGCCAGCCCTTGGCTCCGAGCCCGAGTAACCTCGACAGCACCCTTGTGAACGGAGAAGACGTGTCTATGGTCTTTTCTTGGTCATGGATGCAGTAGACAAAGGACTTTTGCGTGGTGATGGGCAAGGAAACCAAGTGAATCGGCTGGTGCTTGTTCAACGGGATGATGGAGTTGAATCTCGCAAAATTTGGCGCGCGAAGCACTCTAAACTGACTGGATGACATAGTGAGAGAAAATGAAAGAAAATAAAAGAAAGTTGGAGGTTTCAGTAAAGACTGGAAATATAGTTGCTCCGATGGCGTTATCCTGCCGGGTTTTTCAGCTATTTAGATTACGCGAAAAAAAGAAATTTCAGTCCTAAAAAGAAACCATGAATCAGATTCAGGGCCCAGTTTCGGCCGTAGCATAGAGGTAAAACCGCGCTATTGAATAATCAAAGAAGGGAAAGTTGTAGGGGTTATTCATTACACGACTGTGCTGTGTTTCGAGCTATGGTCATTGCTCTCAGGGCCGATCAGAAAACTGCGAGGAACCCATATGAAAAGCTCGACCGAGATGGTTGAAGGAGATGGTTTGTTTTTCTATTTCAACGTGTTCTGGAAGATGTTATTAGTGCATATTTATAGAAAGCGTGCTTAGATATGGAGCTGATGTGTCGGCATTATCGAGGTTAGAGACAGGGTGCATACGCACGGCTATCCAACGCGCGCTTCTCCGGGGTGAGCCACTTCCCTTCCCGGACTCCTTTCGAATTCAGGGGTTCTTTCTTATACTACATACCAGTCGGTATACATTGCCATTGTCTATAGAAATACCGAAGAGAGCGATGATCGTCTTAACAGATCGGGCCTGGACTGCTGTTCTCTTTATGGAGTGTCCGCCTATATCTATAGACTCAATCTTGAAAGAGACCCAAAATTAACGCCCAGAATAATGAGTATTGGCGTGGCCATCGGTCAGTGGTTTATCTTTTGTAAATTAAAGCACCTCGTTAGCGCGACCCCTGGTAGTTTAAACCCCTTGAAGAAATCTCCTCAGGCGAGGCATTTTCATTTGGTGGCATCACTTTCACTTTGAGGCTCCCCCCACCGGTAAAGCTATGAGCTTTCAAACTTATCCCAACTCACCAAAGCCGCGCCACCCCTCCTTAACCAACGTCCACTCCTTGCCCTCATCCCCGTCTTTCTCTATGATACAATACTTTTCCCAGATGCCCTGGGCCTTCCAGACGAGCACGAGACAGTCCTCACCCGACCAGCCGAGAACGCCCTCGTCACTCGGCAGAACGTGGTCGTCGACACGCGCGGACACAAACGACCAAGTGGACTGAAAGTACTGTGGAAGCGGGAGCGTGAGCCGGTTCAACACATGCTTTCTATTAGCTCCACTCAAGCTCACATTAAACACGTGGAGTGTAAGCTTATCACTCAAGACTGCAAGCTTCGAGCCATTCGGGGAAAACGCCATAGAGGTCACCACCGCACGATCGAGTCCTCTGCGGAACTCGTGGAGCAACGAGGTGTTGGTTGTGGAATGGACTCTGATTATCGTGCCCTTTTCTGAGGCACTAGCAACCATAGTGCCCAGCCGGTTGAGTACGAGACACCGGACCGGGGCCTTGTGCGCCTTGATCAAGCTTACAAGATTGCGTTCCTGACCCTTTGGCGAGACGTCCACTAGCTGAATCTGGCCCACCGTTCGGCCTGGAAACGCCAATATCTGGTATGCGTCGCTCGGTGTTGCATTCACGGACAAGTCTGCGATCCCATGCCCATTTTCAGCCGTATCGAACACCGCTAACGGCTTCGGGGGTGACAGAAAGCCATAAACGTGGACGCGGTTTCTCACCACAACCACAATCCGAATCCTCGAGAGAAGCACCCGCATTACTGGGTCCATGAACTCAATCACGAGCGAACTCTTGCGCTTCAAGTCATCCCAGATGATGACTTTGTTTCCTGGGAATTTTGGTGCTCGTCCACCGCCGATGAGCGCGAGGTAGTTTGTGCGGTGAAGCATCGCCACGCTACCTATTCCACCGTCAAAGTTTCGCTTCACCTTGAGCTGCATCGGGTCTGCGTTGTACACGCGGAAGCCCAGCTCGTGGCCAATCGCGAAGCAGCCCTGGTCCTGGTTGAATGCCGCGCAGAGGAGCTGGGGTGTGGCTGGCAGCGTTTTTGAAAGCGGTTTGTGAGTGTTCATAATTCTATTTTAGTAGGGTGTGTAGACTGGAGTCTGAAGCTGATTGAAATTGGTAAATGCAATGACCCAAGCTGTTTTGATGGCCTGGTGATAAGCTCTAGATTTTTTTACCCGACCTGGTATAATTGGTCTGGTGTTTTGGTCAAAAATAGCTAAAAGTGGTTCTCTGGCGCTAATCTGTATGAGTGATCTAACTGATTCCGCCCCTGTAGTGATATGCCGGCGGTTAATCTGATGCCCTTGACTGAACTGGCGATGGATAGTTTCACTAATCAAATATGATTGGATAACTCCGTTCTCTCTAGTCTTGTAACCTGTTGATCGTGATACAGAGACGGATTCTGGTCTCAGGCACTGCTAAAATCGCGAGAATCCGAGCCACCAGGGAGGGTGCGGCACGCCCTTATCGTAAAACTGATGCACTTTGATTGGCATTTGAAAATATACCGATTTGCCAAAAACTAATCAAATTATTGGATCATGGGGTGGATTTTTATATAATTCTGCTCTTATTAAGCAGATCAAAGGTGAAAACCAATCACTGAGAGGGTTAAATATTGGATGACGGCGTTAAGATTCTCCGTGCTGCAATACCTTCCCGATTAGGAATATTCTCGTGCAGCCATAAATATGAAACGCTACCTGAAACTACCTCTAATTCATAATGGCACTCATTTAAGGATTGGAATCACTTAGCTCGAATTTTTGTAGTTTCCAAGCGACATCGATCTTTTAGTTCTATCAAATATTTAAAAAGTCTCTGAGAACTAACCACATGGATATAGCCCGTGTTTTCTCAATCGGGAAAGCGCATGTACGATCCTCAACGGTTGGCTATACCTGAGCACTTAGCACGTCCATCATTCAGTAATCCCTTTGAACCCTGGTAAAAAAAATAGTACCCAATCTTGTGCTTAACAGTCAGACACCTTAACCAACTTGGCCACGAAACCCCTAGGCTAGGGAAGGCGGGTAAATCATAAGTAGGCGAAATCATAGCTAAAGCTACGTCTTCAGAAAAATGCTAGATTCTATATTAATCCTGATAAGAGCAACCCACTACACGGAAATAACCGGATATTAATCTTCATTGTATAATATACAGAGCCTCATTCCCCCCGGAAAATCCATATCCGTTCAGGGTCGTAAGGCAGGGTGGGTGCTTATAATCTGGAAATGTGGTGTTCAAACAACGCCTTGGCTCTGGCCCAAACAGGTGCGGTCTCTCTTTGTGGTAACTCCTTCAAGGATGGTAACATGTCGGTGACAAAAAACTCAGAGGCCTCTCTCGGCAACAAGGACGGTAATTGGTCGATGGAGATGACAGATAACTTTGGTCCTAATGTGGTGTCCACAACAACGGTTGGCTTAGAGAAGACAGTGGCAATGGTGTAGACCGGAATTGGGTTGTGTGGATTGGTGGTATCAGCAGAAACATCAACAATGGTTCTCAACTTTCTGTTGGCATCGTTCAAGGTCTCCAAGTTGGTAAATGGAGGAATCGGCTGGGACAAGTAGATACAATTGATGAAAATATCGGCTTCGGTGATTTCAGCAAACGGACCACCCTTCTTGGTCTCGGCCATGTCCCACTTGATAATATTTTCCTCTGGAATACCGACTTTTCTCAACAAATCGACGGCACCGGAACCACATCTGCCCAAAGCTCCGATTACAAGACATCTAGGGGCCTTGGCACCGGTCTTGTACGCAGCCGCCAAGTCGGCAGAAACATCTCTGATCAATTCCTTCTCGTTAGGGTAGGCCTCGACACCGGCAAGCTCCTCGAAATCAGCATGAGTCTGCTTGAACGCCCAGTCACGGGCACCCAAAGCGGCACCAGCAAAACCGGCATAGAAACCAAAAGCGGCGACACGTCTACCTTGGTCATTTTCCAAGAACTCAATGTCATACAAAGTGCCGTTGCCTTCTGGGAATCTTCTCAAGACATCCTCCCAGCCACCTTGGTTCTTGTAGCAGTGGGCAAACTGAATATGTTCGTGTACCAACGGGAAGGTCTCGTTCTCTGGTAATTCCTTCAACCCAAGAATAATTCTGTCAACTGGGGCCTTCTTCCAGGAGCCTTCCGGCACGATCTCACAGCCGACAGCGCTGTACTCGGAGGACTTGAAAGTTGACTGGGAAGACTCCTCGACAAAGATCTTGAAATCGCCAGTGGCAAGCAAGTTGGCGGCGGTGGACGGGGTCAAACCGGCACGGTGTTCCAAAGGCTTAGTCTCAGCTCTGAGGTGGAGAATAACTGGGGACATGATGTGTAGAGAGAAGCGGGAGGGTTTTACTTGGAAAGTATGATGAAATGAGGAACGAGATTGTGATTAAGTCGGGACATTGCAGTGTATTTATATAGTATCCACTGAGGAATAATAATTGTCAACTCCCCCTCTATCTACACCCTCTATCTAAACACTTACCGCGGTTGTTTACCATTCCAGACGGTTTCTGTGCGTATGACAAACTTTACGTACAGGACCCCCAGAAAACCATATGGCCCTTATACTTACACACAGGTCATGGCATCTCTGACTCAGAGGTGCACATGTCTGTACAGGATTCTAGAGATTAACCGCGCTCGTGGACGATTTGGGCAATCCTCACAGAGCATGAGCGAAGAGTCATACGCAAAAGTAAACTATAGAAATATTTCGAAGGAAACAAGGTATCTGATTCTCCGAGTAGCTTCAAATCTGAATAAATTGAGTTAACTGGTAATGTCAACTCGTATATGAATTTGAACGAAAATCTCAAGCGAGAAAAAGTTTGTGCAGGTCGTACAGCCAGCCGGAGACATGCCACCTCTGATGCTATCACCCTAACCCCTAAGGGCAGTCCCAGAAGGTGGAGCGTGGATAGATACGGGATACGGTAAGTAAGATCCTTGGATCTGTCTTGCATAATAGGGTGGCTTTGGATTTGTGAAAAATAACCCAAATCCTTCGTATTCAAGGTGATTTGGAAAATAAGCGTAGAAGCAAGTATTAATAAATATAAAATTAATGGGTATTAATTATATCTAAGATTCGTTTCCTTCAACGTTATTGAAAAATAGATTATACCTATATATTTATTGTACTTTTCAATAAATATATAAGTAAAACAATAGCATAAGGTTATCTATTAATACTCAAGTTAATATACCGTAATATATACGATATAATTTAGCATAAAGATTGAATAATTTCATAGATATACTTATGGCACACCACAGGATCGATTAGTATGAAAATTTGAAAATTTTCGCATGGCCTGCAGTATAGTTTTCCCACCAGGCCCATCTAATTGCGAGTTTGGCAGACAATTCATAAAATGTCCTATAGAACCATATGGATCCCTAAAAAGGAACATCTCAGCTATCCCTTCAGAGCCAACTGTTTATGCCGTACCCAGATTTTGGCAAGACCTCGATAAAACCCAAACCAAGCTGGCTTAAACTTCTGCTCACTCCCGTTCTAAACGACTCGTCGAAAGTCCCCAGCTCGTCTTGTACTTTATCACGCCGCACCCACCGGTTTTCGCACGCCCATAGAGCGCAAAAGCAAAACACGCCGACGGCTTTCAAAATAGGCTGTTACCTTTGCTTCAAAGCATATAGCATATCACATACCGAGTGTACCAATAGCTTCCTATAGCATCAACTCCTACGATATCCTCCATACTCTCATTATTGCATCGCATCTAACCCCCACCCTATCTCATTCCAACCCTATCTCATCCCATGGCGTTCAACAGTCCCTCGCAGCACAACTCAACGCTCACAATTTCGCCGCTCGTGTCGAACCGACGCCAGGACTTCTTTGCAACCCCACAGAACCCCACGCTCTTTAACACGCCGGGCTCGAACAACAATCTGACGTTTCTCACAACGAGCACGTTTGACCCGCACCCGCTAGCCAATGCCGCCGCGCCGCTTTCGCAGGCGGAGAAGTTGCGGCTCTGGCGCCACGACGCATGGATGCAGCACCACTACAAGACGGCGGAGTACGTGGGCGACAAGGTGCTCGCGTTGACGGGTGACCCCAACGACGCGTTCTGGCTCGCGCAGGTGCACTACGCAAGCGGTAACTATGTGCGTGCGCGGCAGCTCTTGCTGGGCAAGCAGTTCGACGCGTCGGTGTCGTGCCGCTACCTCGGTGCCCTCTGTCTCACGCAGCTCGGGCAGTGGGACGAGGCGCTCGACGTGCTCGGCGAGGTGAACCCGTTTTCAGACGCGTTCCCGGTGAAGAACCAGGACGGCGGCATTAAGCTCGAGGCGTCCATGTGCTACCTCCGCGGGCGTATCTTTGCGCGCCAGAACGCATTCGAGCGCGCCAAGGAATGCTACAAGGAGGCGGTCATGGTGGACATCAAGTGCTTCGAGGCGTTTGCCGAGTTGGTTGAGAACCACCTCATGGCGCCGCAGGAGGAATGGGAGTTTCTCGCGGCGCTCACCTTTGACGACGACGATGAGCTCGTTCGGCTCCTCTACACCACGCGCTTGAACAAGTACATGCACCTCGGCCAGTACGAGGATGCAGCGCAGCGCTTGCGTGACGAGTATAGCTTAGGCGACAACTGCGACGTGATGCTCAGCCGTGCGGACCTCTTGTTTGTGCAGTGCAAGTTCCAGGCGTGTCTCGAGGTGTGTGAGGCGGTGTTACGGCGCGACCGCTTCAACTTCAGCGTGCTCCCCAACTACCTCAGCTGCTTGCACGAGCTCGGAGGCAAGAACAAGTTGTTCTTGATGGCGCACAAATTGGCCGAGAACCATCCCACAAGCCATGTTACGTGGCTCGCCGTGGGGGTCTACTATCTCAGCATTGGGAAGATCCCCGAGGCCCGCCGCTATTTCTCCAAGTCCTCGCTGATCAACCCCAACTTTGCGCAGGCGTGGATCGGCTTTGCGCACACATTCGCGGCCGAGGGTGAGCACGAACAAGCCATTAGCACCTACGCCACCGCTGCACGCCTCTTTCCGGGCACCCACCTTCCCAACTTGTTCTTGGGCATGCAGTATCTCCAGATGAACAACCTCGTGCTCGCGGAGGAGTACCTTGCGACGTCCTACTCGATCTGCTCCACGGACCCGTTGTTACTCAATGAGATGGGCGTGATCCACTACCACAAGAGCGACCTCAAGAAGGCTGAGTTCTACTTCAACCAGGCATTGGCCGCTGCTAAGTACTTGAATGCCGATAGCAAGGCCTGGTTCTCCATCCACGCCAATTTGGGTCACGTGTACCGGCGCCTTGGCCAGTTCGACAAGTCGCTTCACTTCTTCCACCAGGTCTTGCGCGTTGGCGGCACTGATGCCAACATTCACTCTGCTATCGGCCTTGTGCACTTGAAGATGGGTGCCGTGTTCCAGGCTATAGACACCCTCCACGACGCGTTGGCCATCGCCCCGAATGACCCCGTCGCCTCCGACTTGCTCAAGCGCGCGTTGGAAGAAAACATGAACGGTGAGAACGAGGCCCTTCGCCGCACTAGCAGCCTGAAACCCCGCAAGCAACGCCACTCCATGCAGACCCCGTTGGTGCACAAGTCCCGTTCGCGCATGGAGCACGGTAACTCGTTGCTCAGCGACGACGTGAATTTGCTTGCTAACGACTTACACAAGGGCGAAGATTCCAGTGATGACGACGACGCGATTATGGATATTGAAAGCGACTAGAAAAGGACCCGAGGAACGGTTGCGGTTCGGTGTGCTTCCTAGAGCAGGTATGTTGGTCCCAGTACCGCGGATATATTGGAGATTTTTAACCTGTACTTTACGAACGGATAGGAGATCGAAAGTCAGATCCTATAGGAAAATAGCATTCTGCAATGGCAACAGCTGCGATTATAGAACGCAAAGTCAGACAGCTCTTGTCAATGATTCCAGAATCCAGCCGATGCTATTCCCAGTTACGATAAACCCCTTGCCAATCTACCTTTAGCTTGCTTCCTATTTTTATTATACACTATTGTAGCTACTCTAACAGAACGCTGACCTGAGTCTTTTTAGCCTTCTTGGTCTTCTTCTTCTTGTTCTTGATCATCTTCTTCAATTCCTCACCGTCGGTCTCGTTTTCACTGTCGTCGTCGATATCAGCGGCCTCCTCGAGTCTTCTCTTCATGGTGTCGAATCTCTCAACAGACTCAGGGGCCAACGACACGGTGGTTAATCTCTCGCCGGTGTCGTAGACGGCGACCTGGTCTCTCAAGGCCAAGTCCCACACGACAATCTTACCGTCAGACGAGACAGAGGTCAAGAACTGTTTGCCGGACAGCTTGAAGTAGATGATGGAAAAGTTCTTGATTCTGTTGGTGTGCCCGAGCAAGGTGAATTCCGGCTCGAAGGAAACGGTATCGATGTCTTCTTCCTCCTGCTCCTCGTCCTCAGCGTCTCTCAAGAGGTTTTCGATCTTGTAGAACTCGAGCGCACCGTTGCCCAAGCCAACCACGACGTACTCTGTGTCGTCAATCTTGTAGGTGTCAAAGTGCATGATCTTCTGGGTGAACTTGATCTTCTTAGCGATTTTGGCGGTGGCGGTGGTATACAACAAAATCTTGTTAACCAAGCCGACTAAGAAGTGCTTCCCGTCGAGCGACCACTTAACGTACTGCCCAGACTCGCCCAAGGTGTCTCTGCCCTTCATCTTCAATACAGCAGCCTTCTTGGCGGTCATCAAGTTCCATAAACGGATGGTTTTATCGTCGGAGACGGAGATGGCGACTCTTCCGGATGGGTGAATCGCAATGTCGTTGATGCGCTCCTTGTGGCCCTTTAACTGGCCAAAGACTTCCCAGTCCTTGGTGCGCCAGATGACAATCTTCCCATCGGCGGACCCGGACAAGAGCCATTTCCCAGTCTTACCGCTGGTGGAGTTGATCACCTGGTTCTTGTTGGCCTCGTCCAAGGTGGCACCCTCGTTGGAGAAGGTCAAGGAGGTGACGGAGCCCACGTGCTCTAACAAGGTCCCCAATTCTTTTCGCTTTTGTAAATCATAGATTTTGATCTGCTCGTCATTACTGCCGGTTACCAAATACCTCCTGGCAATGTCCATGGCCTGGATGGACAAAGTGTGCGCCTGAAAGTGGAAGATCGGCTGAAAGACCGGAGTTTGGCCGTTCAAGATAAGAGAGAGACATAACACATTGTGCTCGTAGGAACCGACAATGATTCTAAATTGAACGGGCTGTGCATCCGTTTGGGAAACAGCTTCTTCAGACATGGTATGATTGATGGATGAAAGAGAGATAAGATGGGGGTTTTCACTCGTTAAATGCTGCTTGTCCTTCTGAAATTTTTTTAAGCCGCATGCGCGGGCTTCTACCCAGAGGATGTACCCGACTTGAGGCTTAAATATTAACGTGGTGAAGTACCAAACCTTTCACAAAACTGGGATTAGATTGTGTAAGTTATACGGGGCTGAAGCGACAGAAAATTCGTGGTACTTATAGTGCTCTGACATGAAAATTTTGGTATGTCGATGTGAAGTGAAATACCTAATGTTTGGGGGTGCTTTTCGGATCGATATCTGCGTATGACCGTACTACTTGAGAGATGTATATAGCACGGTTTATCACTTTTCGAATTGCTTTAGAATGGAGGGCCTTTAGTTTTGTGACAAGTGCGGAGGGGGGTGTACGTTATTATAGCTTACAAATTATACTATACAGGCGTTAAGTTTCATGTGCGATATGTCTTGTAGGTAATAGTAGATAACCATTAGCTAAGAATATTCTTGATTTTATCATATACTAGATATATTGAGAGAGTGAGGGGTTCCTATAATAACCGTATCACGTCACTTCGGATAAGGAAAGGATCCGAGAAGCCGAAGGATGTAACACCCTTAAGATGAGGGTTCCGCTGGCCTAAGTCGGTTTTGAGTTGCTGCGCGATAGTTGTACCTTAGATTATTATGCCACCGTATTCGTATGATGACGAATCCTACAGGGTCGGCATTTGCTTACAAATTCCTCGTGCCATGTCGTGCGCCGCATGCCTCCCTGAGCCATCTCGCGTCATTCTCGTCTCCAGGCACACTGCACGAGAAGGTTCTTTTTTGCTTCCACAGGTAAATTCCGATTCCCCGCTGTGAACCATACCACCAATACATGCAGGTTTGGATGACAAATTAGCTTCACTTCTAAGCATGGTTTAGACATAGCTATTCGGAATCAGGATTACCCATTTGACCCGTGACCAGTTCTGAAAATGTATAAATACAGCGCTACCCCGTCGATGAAGGATTTTTATTAACTACCCTTTATTCAAAAAACAAAAACAAAACAACTCAAACAATTCTCAATGTCTCAATCTTACAAGCCAATCGTCGCCATTCTCGGTTCTAACGGGAGTGTGGGAACTCCTATCCTCGAGGCTCTCACCTCCCCTCAGTTCAGCTCCAGATACCAGTTGCCAATCAGAGTCATCACCCGCTCCAAGAAAGGCAAGCAGGACTCGGCCTCAATCAAATACTACGAAGCAAGCCTCGATGATATCTCCTCGTTCAAGGAAGCCTTGGATGGCACCAGTGTGTTCATCTCTTTGGTGGGCCATGGCGCCAACGAAGAGGCGGTCTTGTCAGTCATCAAGGCGTCTCCTTCCTTGAAGGTTTACATTCCGTCTCAGTTCGGTACCGACCTTGCCAAGACTGATTACTTTCCGGTGTTTGAAAGCGTTGCCGCCCATTCTGCGGCTGCGCGTGAGCAGAACCCGGGGTTGAAGGTGGTTGATATTGTCACTTCACTTTTTATCGCTCCAGGCAGCTGGTTGTATGAGATCGTTGGCCACGTCGGTGTCGACCAAGAGTCCAAGACCGCCACCGTCAGAGGTGACCCAGCTTTGAAATTCAGCGTTACTACCCTCTCAGATATTGCCAACACCGTTGCCGTGGTGGTGTCCACGCCCCCAGCGTCTTTAAAGAACACAGTTAGAGTCTACTCCGATAGCGTCACGCAGGAAGATGTCATTAGCAAGTGGGAGGAGTCTCACGGCGTTAAGTTAGAGAGAAAGCATCAGTCAGCGGAGGAGACGTTGGCTGAGGCTAAGACTAGATTGGCCGGTGGTTTTAAGGAGGCGGACTTCGGATTCTACTTGCAAACGATCATCGCCCAGGGTGAAGGTAAGGGTTTGGCGTTCCACGCGGATAATGACAGAGAGTGGGTCAACCCTGGCGAGTCTTTATGGACGTGGGGAAAGTTTTAGGCGAGATGAGGCAAATAGAGCCGAGCCTGAGTTTTCTGCTAATGGAGGTTTAATTCTCTAAATAATCGTCAATTACATACGTGTCTTACATTAATATTGATACTTATATACTACTATATCTGGTGCTTGTAACGGTATTTTAGCCGCATTGATGGCAAGTTATTGGGTAACATAGGCGATGAGGATGGGGATCCCTGCATAATACACCGTTTAGCCTGCCGGTTATCAAAAGGCTAGCTAGGAATATATTTTCTATTCTGGGAACTACTCTCATTTACTGAGTAGCGAACTGTCCTTATTAGCTCAGTTGGTAGAGCGTTCGGCTTTTAACCGAAACGTCCAGGGTTCGAGCCCCTGATGAGGAGTTCCACACTCTTTTTGATATTGCGTGCGTCCCAGGTGACGCGCTTGCGCATTTTTAGATCAAAATGTCGCCATCGATGACGCGAATAACCTTAATAGCACAAGTGGGTTCACTCAAATATTATCGCCAAGTAAGTTTAGAACAAACTTGGGCAAAGAATTTTATGGCAGACCGTTTCATGGTTGCCGATCTCACCGGCTTGAAGCCCGTAGGGAAAGAAACAAATATTCGAATTGCTTATATTTATCAAGGCACCTTCTGGGACTACCACTTCAAAGCTGGTATATGGAAACGGATATTAGCCACATTTCCCCCCGTGCCATGCCCTATACATGTCTGTCAATAAAATTACATAGATCGATCATGTAAACATTTTAATAAATCCCCCACCGACGAGAGGCTTATCCTTTCTAAAACCACCATAATACACTGGTGGTTCGTCTAAACACCTAGCCGGAGGTCACCATATTGTCGCTACATACTACCATAGCTCAGTTGATTTGCGCAGGTTCGCGCAGAATTTAAACCTAAACTAGTCGCCCGAGGTTTGGACCTAAGCCATTTCGCAGTTTTCCGCGAAATAATCCGACGGGGGGACCAAAACACCAAATAAGTTTAGCAGGGTAGTTAAAATGGCTCTGAAATATCAGAGTGAGACATCCATTGCAGCAATATGATTGATAGTTTTCATGGCACGGAGATAAGGGTAACATAGATTAATCACCACAGCCACAGCTCCTGGCCAGAACCTTCTTTTTAGTTAGCCGTTTACACATGCCGCTGGGAAACTATCTGGCGGAAAAGGTACATTTAAGTAAACCATGTGAATGGAGAAACGTTTCCCGACAATAAACCCAAGGAAAATAAGTGCCGTGTGCCCCCAGTCCACGCCGGTGGCATAGGAGTACCGTACTGTGACGTAGGTTTAGATCGGGAATTCAACCCTAAAATTGTGTTAGTGTCTGAACTGATAAGCCAGGGTAATTTAGCTGAATTTGTAAGCTGGAGACGCGCGACACACCACCATTGTAAGCACGATGCGGATTCTCCTGGGCTGTGCTCGAACTGGCTCGTTCGCTTTAAGGGAAACTTGCAGGTCCTATGTTTCAGGATGTTGCTCCCCAAAAAAGTCTAGGAACATAATCAGGAAGGCGCAACACCACGTGTACCCGATTCAACTTTATCCTTCTAGCAGGTCCTCCACGTTGCCGACCTCCAGGCAACGGCCAAGGCTACTAATCGGCCAAGTCCACGTCCCCAAAAGAAACGTGAAAGTAAAACTTGCGCGTTGCTACCGGATTGAGGGCGAGAAAAAAGCAATACCTCCTGTATGTACGGGACCCGTCAATTACATAAGCCCGAGATTTCCACTTTAGTCTTGTTCGCCATACCTGTTTGCCGTCCAAGTAGCCGAATTCTATATATATTGCGTACCTCCGGCAGAACCCAGGCAAAATCCGCCCAAACCGGATTCTAGAAGCATTCATATTAAAAACTGCCCTCATTATCTCTTTACACAACTTCGCCACGTCATGAATTCGAGCCCCGAACTGCTCCAAAACGCATTGAGCACCGTCTCAACCGTCCTATACACCCAGAATTTGGCCGTGAACCACTTGGTGAACCAGTTCAGCACCTCTGCGTTTGCGCGTGCCAACATGCAGAAATCGCTCGAGATTATGAACACATCGCTCCATTCCAGGGGTAAAATCGTCATTACCGGAATCGGGAAGTCGCACAAAATTGCATCAAAGGTGGTGGCCACCATGAACTCGCTCAGCCTTCACGCAGCCTTGCTCCATCCATCTGAGGCGCTCCACGGAGACTTGGGGGTCATCCGTGCTGACCACGGAGACTGTCTTGTTCTCATTACCGCCAGTGGCAACACTCCGGAATTGCTCCAGTTGTTGCCTCATGTCCCGGTCTCGGTCCCCGTGATTTTATTAAGTAATAAAAAGTTGTCAAAGTTGTCACAGCACCCGCAGGTGCAGTCCATGTTGTACGCGGAGTTGCCAAAGGAGTTCAGCGAAGAGACCATCTACGGCCTTGCGGCGCCTACGATATCCACCACGTTGTGCCTTTTGCTTGCGGATGCCGCGTGCATGGCCTTGGTCGACTTGCACATCAACAGATTGAGCGACAGACAGCGGTTGTTTGGGGAAAGACACCCGGGCGGGGCCATTGGCGCTGCCTACACCCACACACAAGTCATGTCATCCCTAAATTCATCCACACAGTCCAGCACGGTCGGTCTTAGTTTCGGCAGTTTTATCCTGGGCAACTCCCTCACCAGTATGGACGAAAACACAGAAGCTCCTGAGGTTTTGAAGAATGCGTTTAACTGGCCAGAACAGGCTTCGATTCCGTCTTCCGACGAAGAGTACGAGCTTGAGGTGTCGTCACAGAAGAAGTTGGCAGAAGGGGTTGACCTTAAGCTCAAGTCGAACAAGAACAGAGTAAAGACGTTGCAAGAGCCTATGGACTTTGCCAGCCCGATGGAGATCTTCTCGACCATTGCCATGTATGATACGGTTGTGGTGATCCAGAACGGGCAGCGGCGGGGCATTGCGACCCAGGCCATTCAGCACATCACCAGGGCCGTCTTCGAGGATGATGGATTTGAAAACCAGACGTTGTGGAAGCTTGTTTCGGAACATGTGGATGCTGCAATGACAGCATGTTAAGGGTTTTTTTTTTTTTTTTGGATGTTTTTAGCCCCCCTGTAAATTTAATTAACTGATACGCCAAATATGTCTGTAATGTGTGTGAATTGGCTACCGCTAATCGGGTATGTCACTGAGAGGCTTAATGATGTAGCCCTGAGTTCTCGGAGGTTGATTCGTGAAATCCCTATTTGTAGATATCGAGGGCTTGCAGGAAAAACTGTCGTTACGGGATAATATGTTTGAACAAACCGGTGGGTGAATCGTGTATTGCCTAGTTTCAAACTTTGCGGTCAATTATGGATATACAATACATTTATATTCTATTATACATGCATATTTTGATAAACCAAGCAAACAGCCCCAGAAACAGCCCCAGGCTGCTGAGTTATTTGAACAAACGGTGTCGAAATGGCCAGCCACAGACGATCACTGCAATTCCCAATGGCGGGCTTGTACAAATCCAATACTGTAGGCGCCATATCGATACTATATTGTTAATATAACACCTTTCAGGTTTCTTTTAGGTTAGTCTAATTTGACGGCAAGAGAAAAGGGGTCAGAAAATATCATACAGGGTGGACATACACGACAGTTTCCGAGTTTGGCCTAGCCCATAATCCATGTTTGTTAGCCATAGACAATCCCAATCCCATACACCCACCTGTCCATAAACCCGTACCACCCCTGAATAGAAAGCCCCGGTGGCGCCTCTAATGTGGTAACATGTCCACCGCCGCCTCCGAGATTGGCTGATCTTCTCCCACTGGTCGTCTCTAACACCACCGCATCGACCCAGCCACCGTTGCGGAAATGGAACCTGGAAAAGCGCTCGCCGGGGTTCAACATGAAGTCGGTGTAGTCCTTTGTTTCCTTTCCAAAGAGCACCGAGTCACTGTGGACTGGCACCTGTGGACTCTGGCTCTCGAGCTTTACATCCTTTAACTTCTGAGTGACCTTACCCAAAAACCCTTGCTTCTCCCCATAGTTCCTCGGTGGGAGAGCCGGCGGAGCCCCTGCCCCTACAAAGAAGCGAATCCCGTCAAGAGCTCTTCCATGATACACCCTCGCTCCAATAACCAGGTTCATATCCACCTGGGCCACCACCTCGTGCTCCAACAGGCGTCCCAAGAGCGTAGATTTGTAGCCCACCACGCCGCCGCCCAAACGGACGGTGCTATCCTCGTGACAGTACTTCTCAAAGTCATCGATGTTGAAGTCGCCGCAGCCAGACAACACCCGCACATGCATCTTCTTGTTTCTGAAGCGTTCCGGAATTCGGCGTTGTAACTCCTCGTAGTTGAGCAAAAGGTCGTACTGCTGGCCCGGTCCACCAACGGTTTTCGGCAAGTACTCGATCCACGCGCGCGCCAAGCCATCCACATCCATTTCCACGAGATAGATTCCGCTAGTGGACTTGACGATGCACCCTTGTGACACGTGGAACCCTAGAGGCTGGCCCTGGACGCCCGTATAGATCTGATCCACGGGCTTTGCACCGTTCCCCAACGTCTTGGTACGTTTCTGGAAGCTCGGATCGTACGCGTCAGTCGGCAACCCCAAGCTCCCGTGGTGGAGATAGCGGATCAAGTCCAAGCGGTGCCAGTGGCACTCGTTAGGCCACTTTCCGTCTCTCCCAATGAGGCTCTCTCCGGCCTTTGTCCGCTCGCAGTACGTCTCGCGCGTGCAAAACGACCGCTGGAGGAAGATGTAGTCACGCAACATGACACCGGACTCCTGGTGTGGCGAACCGAGCGAATGGCCGATCTCGTGCATGAACGCGCCCATAGACAACGTAAATGTCTCCCAGGAGGTGCCGCACTGGTTACAATCGTTTGCAACCTCGGTAATGGAGAGGCGCGTGTCGTCCTGGAACGCGGGGATGATATCCTCGACGAAGGATGGCCACAGGTGCAAGCCCTGGGAGCCAAAGATTGCGAGACTGATGCGGTCATCGCCACCGCCGAGCGCCGCGTGCGCGAGGATCAATTGCAACTGCGTGTCCCACGTCGCGTCGAGGTACATCACCGCGGCCTGGGCCGTGCGGTGGCCTTCCTCGAAGGGCCCCCCGTAGTGCTTCAACTCGTCAAGCGCGTGGCTGAAGAGCCCGCCGGTGTTGCTGCCCTTCGGGTTCTGCTGCGCCATGTTGGGGTCGCGCAACTCCGCAAGTGTCTTGCGCGATGTGATCACGTGCACCTTGATGTCCATATGCGCGCGCCCCTCGCCGTTCTTGTCAAAGTCCTGCTTGGACAACGAGCTACACGTCCACTCCTCCGCAAATGCAAACGTGCGGTTACCAAACCCGTTCGCGCGCATCTCCTCGAGCGTGTAGGTCTGCATCAAGCGGCACCCGAGCCTCAACTTGCGGACCGCAAGATCGAACCCGTTGCCCTCTTTGGCTTTCTTGTAGCCTGGCGTATCAAACACCAAGGGCGAATCCTTGGCGACAATCATGCACACGTGGATCGGCTTGTTCTGCACGACTGGCACGTAGTGGATTTTCAATGGCGCGAACGTGTTGCTCTCGCGGTGCACAACCACCGATGCGGTCGCGCGGTACGTCTCATCCGTACGTATCTCGCCATCCACGAGCTGGAAGTACACCGTGTTCTCACCCCCTTCCAAGTGCACGAGCGCGCGGAAGCAGCCGTTGTCCACTGAGAAGTATTGTGCCGGGAACTTGTTCTGGTCGAGTCCGTGGTGAATCACCCGGATCAACCCAGACGTGGTGCATGTTCCTTTGACGAGTACGAGCGGGCACGAAACCGTCTCGTTCTGCTGGTAGTTGGTGATATTAATTGACATGGGCCTTAACTGAGTCAACTGACTTAGAGGAATGTGAATTGAGCCGGAGTAGTCATAAAGGAAGAGACGGGGGAAGGCCAGGCGTTTTATACTGGACAGCGGCTAAGGTTGCTCGGAATGCGTGCAGGATATCACATGAGCGGGCAGTGCTGAGGCGTGTAGATACTTTGGTGGCTTAAGCAGTAGCCAAATGGTTCCTTGCAAGGGGGGGTATCAATGGTAATTTGATCATGATTCTCGTTAGACGGAGATTGTGACGCTCTGGTTGGGAACGCGAGGGACCGGCTCATGCTACTGATGGATACGGTAAGCGTAGCTACAGCCTATAAGTGATGCTAAGATAAAACTAGACAAGGGCTGGTCGAAAAGCGGTACCATAAGCTGTGAGGGTCTATGGATTGGTACCGGAATAACTCGCCGAGACTGAATTGTTTTATACGCAGCCCTTTCATTTTTAGCTAAGAACCCTGCCTGACCTAGACAGGATCACGTGCATCTTGGCAGGACATCTACACAGCAACGACCTGCCATCACATTCTTGCTCTATCACAAGTACTACACTCTCATGCGCTATATCACAAGTACTGCACTTTATTTTTTTTTTCAGCTTCACCAATTCATTCCTGATCCCGTAGCATGTCCAACAGTATCATTGTGGACAACATTCGGCGCAATGTGGCCTCCCTAGATGCCCATTGTAACGGTCTCCTTGTGCAGATCAGCCAGCTCGCGGCGCAGGACTGCCCGAACGCGGCCCACATTGTGGACCCAATCCTCAACTCTCGCCTCGATGCGATCGAATCCACCTTCCACCGTGTCTACGAGCTCTGCGACGGCTTGCGAAACGAAAGGAACTACGCTGATGCCGCTACGACGACGAGTACTCTCAGTAAGCCGGCCCAGAGCAGCTACTTCAACTCCGCGGGGATCAAGTTTTCTGCGCTTTTGGAGGCGTTGGAGGCCCTTAGTGATGGCACGCTCAGCGAACAAATCCGTGCTCACTCAGAGTACCATGTAATGCCAACCGCCTTGAGGCAAGAGGTGGACTTGGTGTGCCTGTTGGAACAGCCGATCGTGGCGTACGTGTATCTCCTTTTGTACTTGAAGGCGTCGGATTTTCTTCTCCGCTCCACAATGCCGTTATCGGATGACCTTAACTACTATGACTCGATCCTCAGCTCGCGCATGTCTCTCGGGGTTTACTTTGTCCAGCACCTTCCGCAAAATGCGTTCCGTCTTTTGCGCACGATCTATGCAGACTTCTATCGAAACCTCGGAGTGCTCTCCTTTTCCAGCCCCGAGCTCGGCGCCTATCCGCCACCTGCATGGCTTCCTGAGATCTACCACCGCCCGTTCGCACAGCTCGCTCACTGGGCCCAGACGTTGGCAAGATCCGTTTCAGAGCACGTACGCAAGGTCAACCCGGCATACTCATTGCTCTGGATGAACAAGAGCTTTCACACGTTTGGCGGAACTGGTCCAAGACTCCAACGGCCACTCAACTATGTGCGGTTCGTGTTGGGCTTGCCATTTATCGCGATCACGAAACAAGCGGGTGAGAAAAGGGGGGCCTTGCTCCGCTTGCAGGAGACTAATGTGAGGAAGCTTGGGGCATTGATCAGTGAGTTGCCGAACTTTGGGAGTATTGACCTCAGGGAGTGGGGGGTGGAAAGCCAGATAGAGGGGGAATTCCAGGAACGCGTTCGGAATCTGGCGGCTACCCTGGCTCTCCCTCTTTTGGTCACCCGCTTCGAATATATCCTCACCTTTGACGACTTGACCAATCTCACTGATGTCCGCGTTTCCCGTGAAGACCGGCAGGTGTGCGCCAAACTCTCGACCCTTATCCGTGAGACCATCCCCGCGGCTAAACGACACACAGCCGTGGTCACAAAACATACCCAGCAGCCAGGGTTCCTCACACGCTTCTGGCCGCTTCTTGCGGCGTGCCTCCTCTACGGGCCATCCACCACCTCGAACCTCATTAGCAACCATGACGCTATTGCAGAGTGGCTCAGGCTCAACGTGGTGGAGACGGCGATCGGGTTCTGGCGAAACTGGATCCTCCAACCTCTCAACAACATCTTGGGAACCATCCGCCACGATGAGAACTCCCGAATCGCGATCGCGTCCCAGAGCTCGCTTGAATCAGACTTGGATTCGCTCCAGCGCATGGTCATCGATTACGTTGTAGACCAGAACCCGACCGTGGGCGAGCTGGAAGTGGCCGAGCTCCAACGGTTGGTGCAGCAGGGTGACTTGACGCCGTTCATGAAAGACTACGAGACTCAGTTGAAGACCCCCATCAAGGGCTTGCTCCAGGGCAAGCTTGTACGCTCGTTGCTCATCCAGGTCCAGAAGACAAAGGTCGACGGGGGCATGGTGATTGGTGGTATCGACAAATTGTTAAAGTCGCAGGAATTGGTGTTTGGGATCGTGGCCGCTTCGCCTGCTGGGTTTTTCTTGCTCTGGTTGTTGAACCACGTGAACTCATACTTGAAGAGGGGTGTGGTTTCGCTCAATGCGACGCCCCACAAGTTGCTCGTGAGCTACACCTTGAACAATATCCAGCGTTTGCTTAGTCTTTCGCAGGTGGAAGGCGACGTTTCCAGTCGGTACTACATCGAGGGGAGGTTTTTGATCGACATTATCGCGTTACGGAAGAGCGGGCTGAAGTTGGTGCCAAAGTTCCGCAAGAACGAATGGATGCGTGACTTGAACGACTTGAACAATCCAGAGTTGGGGGTTTCCGTTAGATTGATCACCGTCCAGCGGATCTGGAATGTCTACGGGTGTTATCTCAAGTAGGGAACCGGCGTGTATATAAATGAAGTTTTAAAATGATTTGCGTAAATCAAAGCGTTCGAAGTTTGACACTTCTGGATGGAGAAACCCCTTCGATGGTTGTATCCTAGAGTGTGTGCGATTTTGAGATAAAAAGTAATATTAGTCATCGACCACAGCCGAAACTCTGGGATCCTACGTGGCAGAGCTAGTAATCATTGCATCGCTATATCGCATATCCACTATTGAAGAAGTGGTTTGTGCATTTCCTTCTACAAAAGCGGTGTGTAGTATATCTTGCTCTCCCTCAAAACCGGAGAGATTACTCGTAGAAACATAAAGGTTAAAGGTTCACCTCCATATGCTACTTTTACCCAAGAATCATCAAATCGTAGGATATCAATGAAAGGGCTATCCATGATTTAATCTCAGCTTTGCCATGGAGTAAACCTCTGTGTCTTTCGGACTCGGCCCTTAGCGCTCACCATACCCCTATCTGTCCTCCACTTAGTCCTAAATTTACTTAACCATTTTTCATTTAATTATATCTACTGTTCCTTCTCAGCCTCCTTCTCAGCCTCCTCCAAGACTCCGCTGTCCTTGATCAACTGGTCGATCTCAGCCGGCTTCCAGATCTTGTGGATGACCTTGCCGGTGGTTTTAGACTTTGTCAAGGTGGCAAACTCCACCTTTTCACTGTTCAACAACGACGCGTCCATGGTCTTGCTCAATATTTTCAACGCCAACTTGGACGCCTCGCTGATTTTCATGTCGCTCTTGTAGTCGTTTTTCAACAATGTCTGTGCGCTGGAGGTGTTGGCGCCGATGCTGGTCGCCTTCCAGCCGCTGTAATTGCCCGATGGGTTGGACGTGAACAACTGGAACTCGTATCTGTCGTCGTACCCTGCGTAGATGAACGACACACCGAACGGTCTTAACCCACCGTGCTGGGTGTACCCCTGTTTGACGTCACACACGCGGCGGATCAACTGCTCGCACGGGATGTCTTCATTGTATGTCTTAAGGTACTGCTGCGCCGTGTATCTCGCGTGGTTGATCAAAATCCCCGCATCAGCGTTCATACCGGCAACCGCACACACCATGTTGTCGTTGAGGAGGTACATTTTTTCCGCAGACGTGTCTTGCTCTAACAACTTGGACGTGACCTTTTTTTCCGCCGCCAAGACAACACCGTCTTCCGCAAGGATCCCAATCGCGGTCCCCGCGTGTGAAATGGCCTCCAACGCATATTCAACCTAAGGTGTTAGTAGGTGCAAACGCTCAGAGATGAAAAGGGACAGTCAGAGAAAACTACAGAAGGGTAGATTGGGATACCACAATCCACCAAGCCAATGAAGTCTGTATGGAGTGCCACTTGGAACCAGAGCTGTATTCCATCACCGGTAAACTCTCTATGTCCCAACCCCCCAGCCACTGACGGCTAACCGTACATACTTGGTAAAGTCTCCCTTCTGGAGAGAAAATGGTGGTACGACTATCGTATCTTCTGGACATTGTGAATTGTTGGTATATATGGGCTCAGCGTGGAGTGATGGGAGCAGTGGCGTTTATCAGGGGGACAATCCTAAGTGTTAACTGGCCGATGTATTTTCGAAGGCAAAGGGGCGAAAAGGGCGTGTGAATACCAGCATGATAGGGCCCGCCATGGTTAATTTGACAGCCTGTCGAAAGGTATCGGTCATGTTTTTGACGGCTAATTTAAAACTTTCTAACAGCTTGTAAGGTTTGTTATAAAACTAGGAAGCGTCCAAAGGGTTTGCCAGGACAGCCTTAATCCAAGAGTTCCTAGTCCTACCAGACCAAAGGGCAGAAGGGCGTGCCATTACCAGCATGAGAATTCCCTTATAAGCGTTTGGGACGTCACGACAGAGCAAACATCGTTTGTGAACTGCTCAAAGCTTATAGTTCTGCCTCAATCCAACCGTATTCAACCCAAAAAGTTATATAATAGACCATGAACCAGGGAAAGGTGCCGAAAATACACCCGGGGCAGCCTCAATTCCGGTATCCTATTCCCGAGACTGCATGGTCGGTGGTGATCACCACAACTGGTCACCACTTTTATCACAATTCTGCCGAGGGCCGATCGGTGTGGAAAATCGAAGACGACACGTTAAGACTGCTGCTTTACGATAAGATCAACAGGGATGAATTGTTGTTATTAATTGCCAGGGCCAGAGGATTGAACGTGGAGGCGTTTGTGCAACCGACAGACAAGAGTGCAGAAGAGAGTGAGGTGGTTTTCCAGATCCAAAGAACCGGCATTGAGAATGAGCCAGAGACTTTGGAACGCATGGAAGAAGCGGCAGCGCCTGTAGGAGCGCCAAAACTTTTAACCAGCACGTTGCTCAGTGGTTATGCATCCTCAAGCGAGGATGATGCACCGGAAGACGTACCAGAGGTCGCACCGGATGATTCACCGGAAGAGGCTGCTACGGAGGAATCAGAATCGTCTGACAAAGACATCTATAACGGCGATTTGGACCTTGGACTTTCAGACGGCGAGGAGCTAGCAGTTAAGGACACCGCACAGTCTAGAGAAATGATAGCACAATTTAAACAGCTCTTTGATCGATACCAACTAAACCCGTTCAACGGTTGGGACACCGAGTGTGAGAGCTTGGCCTCGGAGCCGCTTTTCTTTGAGATAAGCGATGACAAAGTAAGACTGAAAATCTTCAACGAATGGTGTAAAGAGAAAAATCTCAAAGCACAAACGCGAGACAAATCAGATCAGGAAGAATTGCACGACCGTTCCATTGCCTCGTTACTCCTACAAGCCAGTCCCTCGACCAACCCAAAGTATGTGTATCTACGGTTTTTAGAGAGTACCATGATTACGGACCTGAAAAAGCTTTCCAAGAGATATAAGCTATTCCTGAAGTTCAAGTTCTACATCGATTTCAAGCGCAAGTACAGGACAGACGAGGCGTTCAAGGCAACCAGTTTATCCGACAAGGAGAAGGAGAAGTGCTTCCGCGAGTACATCGGACTTTTTAACAAGACATTGAGACTGTTGGATGATGAAACACTTGGGGAGACCTTTTCACAGAACGCCAACGCATTGTTGCTAACCACCGTATCCCACCTGAAGGTGCTAAACGTGCAATTGCACCATTTGACTCCCCCTGGCGAGGAGTTGTCTGCATTCCTAGATGAATTCAAAACGTACTTGGCGGAGAATTCAGCGGTCTTGTCAACGGAGGAATACTACAAATTGCTCAGCTTACTAGTGCGAGAGCTTATGGTACCGGATTCGTTTTTGGAAGACGTGAATTTGTTCCTTGTGGATGACATTCGTGCCCGTCTAGCCACCATTTTCGAGTACTGTTACTCCAAATTAACATAAGCATGTACATTACGGCGCTGCTATCTCGGAACGTTTAATGCTCCGGGCCGAACGTTGCAATCACTTGTAAGCTATATTTAGAGAATACCAGGGTACGGCTGAGATTATTACATCACACCGCGTTTTCCTGAGCGGAGAAGGAAAAATGTCAACATGTTGGCTACCGAACCTTTAAAAAGTGACGCGTTTTTAAGACCGGAAGGCTTTCGCAGAGCCAATGGGGCGGTGCTGGAGAGCGGCATGCCACCGGAAAGAGCGTGGCCGTGCAGAGATGAAGGAAGGGGCACCATTCATGCGCTAAGATCCGAGCACCTGGGTAAAGTGTAGCCGCGCCATTTAACCGATTATTTACATATAGTCCTAACCATCTTGTACTTTGTAAACAAGGGGTAAAATCGAATTTGCTGTCTGTTGACAGTTCGACCAAAAATTACCCGGAAACGCGTCTCAAGCGCGTGACGAGGGCCTAGACCGCAGCGCGCCTTAGAATCACGTTTCGGGGATCCAAGTGGAGGCGCACAGTTGCTAGGGCAATGGATCACCTACTACTTCAAACACCGCGGCCAAAGTGCCTCATTCGGCGCCAAGGTCAGCTAGCACACGGGCTGTTTTGAGACCGTTGCCCCAATAACCCTAAACACAAAAGATCGGATATCTGGGAACACCTTCTTGGCCACATTTGTGCGGCTTGACGCGATGTGTTTGCTCAGAGCAGTATGCACCTCAGAAGGCTGTGTAGCTTTTGTTTATCCGATCCACGGTGTACGGCGTAAGCCCAGATGGACTGCTGCAAGGATTTCCACGTCGTGGTTCTATCCCTGTTTAAACTATTCGCCTATGATCCGTAAATGCTGGGCACTGGTGTCTTTGCCGAGACTCGTTATATCCGTAATGACCGGTGTGTAGTCACGTTCAGTGTCTGTCATCTAGCCTTACCATATACCATTAGAGTTGATTGAAACGGTGGGCTATACACCATTGACCGACAAAAATGCCTATGCTTACCCACTAGCATTGTTCAATAAGTGTCTCCTGGAGAAGGCTATCTGTTGTTGTCTATATTTAGAGCTACTGGTAAACCTAAAACGCTGTTTCTTTCTTTTTGACGCACACATTTCTTTTTTTCTTCTGCGGAACCGCCAAAATTTTCGCGTCCGTGACGACGTTTCGAGAAAAATAGCAGATCGTGCATAGAGATCAGGAAGCTTAATAGAAATATAGAGTTGGACCGGGCGTGGTATTTAGCATTGCGAAAGGCTCGGATCAACCTTTGAGTAGAGTTTTTTTTTTTCAACACCTAACATCAAAGTTAAAGCGCAAACACAGTGATAGGTGAGAATAGAAGCCGGAAATAGTTAAAGCGCAAAAGGGATTAGCAGATCATTCGGAACCCCGATTACCACATCCAACCTTCACACGTAGCACCATTCGCTCCTCCTACTCACCTTCCTAGCCTTTTGAAGAAGAAAAAAAACCACTCTTTAGCCAGGTCTTTCTTAACATCCTTTATTTTTAGTCATGGCCAGAAACTTGACACACCAGCAGGATCCATTTTCTCCCGAACCCCTCAACCCGTTTGAGGGCAGCGACGAGGACACCTCTGCGTCCTACTCGGACGAATCGCCAAACTACGAAAGCAGAGACTCACGGACCAACCTTCTAGAGCGTGACGGGCCTGAAATCCAGAACAACAATATACTCTCGCCTCCTGGGTTTGACCGCTACCCGACGGTTGCACTTCTCTCAGCTGGGCCATCCTCGTCGTCGCTCGCCTCGAGCTACCTCCACCCGAATAAAAAGTACAGCTACGCGAACTACTCGTCGGGTCAAGGTAGCCGCTTGGGCTCGAGCAACGTCTCGACCGATTCCCGCTCCGACTCCACCCACTTCCAAGAAGATGTGGATTTCCTGCCATTCGGGGGGTTTCCGGCTTCTCTGTTCCCTTTGCACATCGATGAGAAGGAGGACGATGATTACTTGCATAACCCCGACCCAATTGCGGATGCGGAGTACGAAAATAACCGGTTCAAGTACGACATGAAGCATTTGGACCGTCGGTCCGGAATGGGCCTCGCGGGGATTATCCTCTTGGCCTTGGGGATGTTGACGGTGTTTGTGGTGTATCCGATCTTGACCTACTCGGGCGTGACAAGCCCAGGGCATGTGACACCTTACGAAGTGCTCACCCTGTATGAATATCCAACTTTGTCTGCCGTCAGGACCAGCCTTGTGGACCCAGACACTCCTGCGGAGTACAAGACGAGAACGTCGCGCGAGGGAGAAGAATGGCAATTGGTGTTTTCAGATGAATTCAATGCTGAGGGACGTACCTTCTACGAGGGCGACGACCAGTTTTGGTATGCTCCAGATTTCAATTACGCCGCGACCAAGGATTTGGAATGGTATGACCCAGACGCCGTCACCACCGCCAACGGGACGGTACAGCTCCGCATGGATGCATTCAAAAACCACGACTTGTACTACCGCTCCGGGATGCTCCATTCGTGGAACAAGATGTGCTTTACGCAGGGGATCATGGAGGTTTCGATCAGATTGCCGAACTTTGGTAACGTCACGGGATTATGGCCCGGTGCGTGGTCCATGGGGAACCTCGGGCGTCCGGGGTACATGGCAACCACCGAAGGGGTCTGGCCATACACCTACGAAGCCTGCGACGCGGGTATCACCGCCAACCAATCGTCTCCGGACGGGATTTCCTACTTGCCAGGGCAGAAATTGAACTCTTGCACGTGCAAGGGCAGCGACCACCCGAACAGGGGCGTGGGCAGAGGGGCCCCGGAGATTGATATCATCGAAGGGGAGGTGGACACTACTTTGGGTGTCGGTGTGGCGTCGCAGTCGATGCAGATCGCCCCGATGGATATCTGGTACATTCCAGATTATAACTTTGTCGAGGTGCGCAATGCTTCCGTTACGTGCATGAACTCCTACTGTGGTGGGCCGTTCCAGCAGGCGGTGTCGGCTGTATCCACCTTGAATACCTCGTGGTATGAGATGGGTGACACCGAGCACAACTTCCAGAACTATGCGTACGAGTACTTGAATGACAACAACGATGGGTACGTGACGTGGTACGTGGGGGACGACGAGACGTTCACCGTCAAGGCGTACGCGTTGGCGCCAAACGGAAACGTCGACTGGCGCCGAATCTCCAAGGAGCCAATGTCGATGATCTTGAACTTGGGTATTTCCAACAACTGGGCATATATCGATTGGGCCGCCATTGACTTTCCCGTGACGATGGAGATTGACTACGTCAGAATCTACCAGCCAGCCGGGAACATCTCCTTGACCTGTGACCCAGAGGACTATCCGACGTACGACTACATCCAGGACCATCTCAATGCGTACGAAGATTACAATATCACCTCGTGGGAGGACGCCGGGTATTCGTTCCCGAAGAATAGGCTCACCGGGTGCTAAACCAGGATTGAAAAAGAGGCTTTTCACTGCATTATGGGTATACATAAATCCTATAGTTTTGCATTTATTTTATGTAGGCGTGGCGATATAGACACCCTTAGATTTAACGGTCAAGAAATTATACTTATTTTCCATCCGAATAGGCTATGAAGTCATATCCGTTATAATGCTTTTACCAAACCTTTGATTTACTGCCATTTTCACCTCTTCATAGCCCTTGTACACAAACCTAGAGGACGGACAGAATAGATTTTCGGGTTAATTTTCTCAACCTGTAATTAGAATGAATAGTTAAGGTGAATGACTAGCTGGAACTAGCTGTCTTGTCTGCGTACATAGTTATTTATTTGCGTCGTGGAGACGTGCGGTAGGGCTTCTTTGGCTATAGTTCTCGGCTCACCAAGTGAAAGTCCCGTCAAAACCTAGAGCATATACGTATTTTTATTTCAATATTTGAACACCTTAGCACCCCGATCAAATAGGCGGCGGTGGGTCTGAACCGGCAAGCATTATAGAAGGAGACAATCGGACCCTTATCTGAAATAGCCTCGTGTACCGCGGCTAAAAGCCGTTAAGTGAAAGACCAGTCTCTTTAAACAGTTATAGCCCTGAAATTCCAAGGTTCATGATTGACACCCGCAGGTGTCATCCTGGCTAAGCCTACCGATGTAATACTAAAGTGGTGTGAGGTGAGTGGTGTGACATTTTCGGGCCCGTGCATAGGTCTGCGCCACACGCCAATTTCTAAACCATACCCGAACGTTCCGAGAAATCCCCTGGTTCACTACATGCTATCTTATGCGTATATCCAACGGCGCAAAACGTTTAAAACTATGCAGCGTCGAACACTTGAGCTGATTTGTGCAAGGACAGTAAAAAATCAGCCCCAGGAGGTGAGGCCGCCGGCAAGGTCACCGGCAAGGCCCGCGGATTTAGCCACGCCTGGCCCAAAATCTAATTCGTACAATCTCCAAATGGCCCTGTTAACTTCCCAGATTACATAAGCCTGACAACGAGGTTCTAGAATTCGTAGATTTTTGTATCAGAACACACCACCCTCGCTAGTTCGTGTTCCTTTCTTGTATCTGGACTGTGCTTCAAGCTATCTTTGCACCAGCCACACCAGGTTCTGCGGATCAATCGTGACTCTGCTGCTGTCACCCTGGCGCCCCAGGCATACACGGGGGACACGTTAGTGACAGGGCTGCAATTTGACACTGAACCTCCTTGTTTTAGTCCCAAAATGGAAAAAATAACATACTCAGCGGCCAAGCTTACACTCCAATAAATACAGCCCATTCCGGATACCTAGATCCTAGACGGTTGAATATAGCCCTCTGATCTTCACGTTACCCCCCCACCGTATACTCCGGCATCGTGCATACTCTGAAAAATGGGTCCGTGAGGTCCGGGAGTAATCTGAGATGTAGCAATGCACGCACGCATGTCCTAGCCACCGATGGCTCTATTTCCTGCGTATGCCGCCAGAGGCCTCACCCGATACGCTGCACCTAGCCAGGGTACGCGTCGTTTCCTGCACCTGAAATCTCTTTCTCTGTCTAGGTCACTCTCTTACCAAAGGGTGACAAATATTTACAAATACTATGATTGAACAGAGAGGCAGCGCAACCTTTATCGCCTTTTTATTCCTAACGGACTGACCAACACCCAAAACCACACCGTGCCGTCCGACCCCTAGCGGAATTCGTAAATGAATTGAGTTCACTTACCAACTTAATTAGACGCTGAACCTTAACTGCTACAGTTTCTCAGACCAGCGATATAACCCTCTTATCAAAAAGTGCCCCTTTTCCACTCAGCGTCTATTTTGCATTCGCACCCTTATGTCTTTTGTTCCCAACCGCCCAGTTACCACTTTATTCTTGTGATACCTACAGGCGTACACTACCGATACACACAAGGAGTAGATCGGCACTGTCAGAACAATTTGTACCTTTCAGAATTCCGCCAATTTACACCCTTCGGAATCTCTGGCTAACCCACACCTTTTTCAACCCTCACCACAAGCCATCCTCCCAAACCCCACACCAGCAGAACAGACTAACAATACCCGCCCACGATGTTTGAAGCTCCCACTCGAAGACCAGAGAAGCTTTTTGACGCACCCCCTTCCCCTAAAACTGGCCTAACCGGCACTGCTTTGGGATACGCCGGTACTGGGTCCGAGATAGACCTGGACGAAAACTCTACCCACACACTTCTGAGTCCCGTGAGCTCCAATCCGGTGCTGCCGGTAAGATTGTCCACGACTTCGTCTGTGTTGTACCACGAGGCGTCACCCTCTACAGGCTCCAAGGCGTACCCGATGTCGCTTTCGTTTCTCCACAAACCAAGACGCTCCGGGAGTCAGACCAAGGAAACATTGTATACGCAGGAAAACGCAAGCTCGCACTTGGACTCTGAGCCCCGCATCCCCTCGGTTTCCTCCTCTTCGTCTTCGTCGTCGTCCTTATATTCGTCTATGGCAGCGGCTGCTGCATTAGAAGCCTCCATGAGCGATAACGACGAAGACGAGGACAACAGGCGGCGGCCATACGGCTTGGTGCGTAAAAAGTCGGGCGAGTTGGTAAAACCGTCTCTCCGAGCCAGACCCCTTTCTCTACCTGCCACCCCTACATACAAGCAGGTACATTTCGGAACAGCACCAGACGTGCGGTACTTCAATAAGAAGGACAGGCCCTTGGCTGTGTCTGCTTCCAACTCCCCGGACTTAATCGGAGCGGACGGTTCGAGGAGAAGTCTAAGACTGCTGAGAAAAGCCTTCAACGACATCGACGACGACTCGGACTACGAGTATGATGACAGGAGTGAGTCGGACCTTGATTCGGATATCGACCTAGCGAGTGAAGCTAGCTCCTCCGACACGCTCACGCCCGTGAAAAAACTGCAGGGACCCAACTCCACTCGATGGGAGATCGAGCTCTCCAACTTTCCCGCAGTGAATGTGGATGCTAAGCTTGCTGACTCAGGCATGTTTGTGTTCCTTGAGCGCATTTTCATCAGTGCGGATAAAACGTATCTCACGGGCCATGTTGCAGTGCGCAACCTTGCCTACCATAAATGGGTTAATGCTCGATACACCTCCGATGACTGGCGGACGGTAATAGAGGTCTCGGCTGAGTTTGTTCCGGATATTCCACGGGCCATGCGTAAAGCGGGGTTCGAGCGGTTTGTATTTAAGTTGCCCCTTGTGACCCTCTTCAACAACAAGAAAAAGAAAAAGGCGGGCGAAGCCCCTATCCGCCACACTTCCGAGGGAATCATTGATGCTGAAAGTATCAATTTCCAGGCGTTCCAGATGTGTATTCGATACAACACTGATAGCAGGGAGTTTTGGGATAACAACCACGCCAACAACTATGCCATTAAACTCCACCAAATCAAGAAAAGAGGCGCTAATGAGGAGACGCCGAGAAGCAAGGCGGACCAGGGCGTCTCGTTGTTTAACAACAACAACTCCACCATCCACAAATCGCACTATTCCGCCTCTTTCTTACAGAGGAGGTGTTCCGATTCGGACCTTGGAAAAAGGCTATACTCGTCCAGAGATCTTACCAAGAGAGTTGTACCGGATGACGTCAAAACTTTGTCTCAGAGGCAGAGCGATAGGTTTTTCCTTGAGGGTGCATTTGCCAAGTCTCCCGATACCCCAGATGCCTTGAACGACACCAAACTTCTCAAAACACCAAACTTTGACGACTTGGCCTATGATTCGGAAAACCACCACCCCCTTTTGATGAGCCACATCGGTACTAGCAAGACGTACACCCCGGATAATTCCGACATGTTGGGTCTCTCATTGTCCACCAACTCACACCCTATTCCGATGGGAGCTAGATCTCTAAACGAGGAGGTCAGCGACAATTCTTCTAATTACATAGCATCCGTCGGACCCAAAAGCCTGCCACCCTTCGGTACTCCCGATACATACTCGTCGGTGTTGAAACTGCCATTGGATTCAAAGTCATACAAGGAATTACTTGAAAACTATTGTTTCTTCAACGGACCGAGTACCGTGTCGACGTTTTTGCAAGAAAAATAGAGAATTGAAGCGTTTGATAGATGTACCCATTCATTAGCTGAGCTTGTAAATAGTATACCCAATGTAGCTATCAACCTGCGGAATTTTCACGGTAGCCATCAGCACGGCGCCCCGTGGGGACATCAGGTCTGACAAGTACACTGAGGTGAACCTTCTCGTAGGGTTGGATTTATGTCAAGTCAAGGCGGTATGAATTTATGGGGTGATAATTGGAAGAAGCCCGAAAGTACGTATTTGATGGCATACCGTAAAACTCATGGTACAAGCTGCTCTTTCCGTTTAGAGACTAATGGCACGAGTTTGCGTGCAAAGTTTGTTTCAACTTCTTCGGCTCCACCTGAATGTAACTGTACCCATGTGTCTAATCTGAATAGTATCAAGATGATCCATCGATGAAAGATGAAAAAAAAAATAGTCCTCCTTTTCAAATATAAACACGCTGCCGGCTTCGAACCTCCCGTTTTTTCCATAACATTCTTTTTAGCTTGTCCCTGGGGATATGCTGGAGTCAAGCCACGCCAAACTGTTTGGGAATGAACTTTCAGAATATTTTTATAGTAAGCGGAGTTTTCCTTCTGTAAAGAAATAGTAGACAGAGAACCACCATTTTAAATTTAATACTCCTCCTGTTTTGTAAAATCCAAAGACGGAGGTGGCTTGGCTGGAACACTTTTAAACCTCCGACTCTGGCCGGTAAGCTTGGATATCATTGTGCACAAATCCGATACGTCACAAGCCAGGTGTATGACCCCACCACTCCACTACGGAATGTTTTGGAAGCTATGTTGAAAGTTACCTACGAGGACAAGATTCATCTGGGGCACTGGACTGGAGTCTTGCCGATAATTGAGAGCCTGGCTTGCAAGCTACCAGCCGGCAGACCCAAATGTGTCACCTCAAGCACGGATCACACGGATGGTACGGCGTATCAGACCGGATTAGCTCGCACCTTTAAATTCATGTGCCTGCCAATTCTGCTTTCTATCTTGCATCTTTCCGGGTCTGGTCTGAGAAAGCAAACAACATAGCCTAACAATTCCTTGATCATAGAATAAATTTCTTACCGCTCTTAAGGGATACTTTCGGAAAGCCCGTGTCTGCGGCGGAGCAATGCTGGAAATATAGTCAATTTACCAAGACTTAGAGCCGGAGAATCATTGATGCTATACCTATCTACAATTATAAACCTTCATGCTAACGTGTACCATATTGATGCCTAGATCAGACCCCATCCTCCCTGTTTCGTCTTTGACTTTTCCAAATTCCGCTAGGAAATCCCAAACTATACTCAACTCTGAGCAATAGACATAGCAAGCATATATGGTGTCCCGCAGCATGCATCTAATTAGTGAAAAATTCCCCCTTGAGCAAGCCGAACCTAGAGGTGCGTTTGTGTGACCCCTAACATAGAAAAGGGCTTACTCTGCCGAAGACGCTCATGCACTGTGGGGTGCGTCAACCGTGCCGGAACAATAAGGCAGGATACCCCGGAAAGCAATCTCATATATGTCTCTCCGTCTGGGAACGGCAACACTGCGCGGTTATTTGATACTTTGTTTCGGCCGATAATATAAATTAGACGGTTGCAATTTTCGGTTACTGGGGCAGCATGCACTATCCGGAATATGACCGCACAGCCTATCAATCCAATATCTTATGCGTTGCGTGACTCGGAATGATGGGGTCTTGGACACGGATCTATGGATATCATAGGCGGATCTGGGCTTATCATGGGGGATAATTGACCAATAATAAACCACTTCATTACCTACTCCGGACCAGATCTTTGTAAACCGGGTCGAGATCCAATTATGACGCAGTCTGTGTTAGTCTGTAAACCTCGTCATTGAGCGTTCCTTCAGGCTTTCGTGCATGAATTTAGTTCAATGGTGGAGATTTTCCGAATCTTCACCTGCAACAACTATAGCAACCCTGTCTAGCCTCGGAGCATGATTTGTGCGAAACTATAGATGCGAAAAATTGGCACATTCAATGAGAGAGGGGTACAATAAACCTCCCGGCTGTACGGCACTTACGGAATTGCCAAATAAAGGCCTTGGCTTATTAGAGCTATATAAAGTCACATAGTCCGTCATATATCCTCTTTTATAATTTACCTAAGATATCCCAAAACTTCTCACTCCCTGTTGAAGATACAAATGGTGCCTGTTTCAAGTTTCATCGCCTTGCTAGCGATTGCAGCCAGCTCTGCGAATGCTGTAGTAATCAGCAACTCTACCAGTGGCTTCAACTCTGCCGGTGGCTTCAACTCTACCAGTGGCTTCTTCAACTCTACCACATCTTTTTCCAACTCTTCAACCTACGTCAATTCTTCTGGTGAATGCACTGCGTGGGTGCCTACGTATTCAACGTCTAGTTTCGCTTACGAAACTAACACCACAACCCAATATGCCACACCCGTCCCCACCGACTCTATTGTCACCACCACTTTCGCTCAACCGTATTCTAAGGTGGCCCATTTGGTAGGAAATCTCTCGACCAC